AGATGAAAGAAGGTGATGATGGCTGGGAACTGAAGGCTTGGACGAGCTTACAGCAGGTTTCTGTTCCCTGCCAATCAAATGGAAGAAATGGTAGTGGAAGATAGCAGTGCTTAAAGACAGAATTATTTCTTTAGACTCAGGGAGAACTTATCCTTTTATAAGATTTTTCTGTGTTTAACATTTGTTGTTGTATTGTGTGATAAAATTTAAACTAGTATAATGGGACAAGCTTGCGTAGTTAAAACTACTCATTTTCAGTCTTTGTGTTCTTGCTCTAGAAGAAGATGTATATTATTAACACATACCGGTGTAGCTAAAAAGCCTGAAGAAAATGAGAATTTAAATGGCTGATAAGTTACAAGTGCGTTGATATAGTAGAGAAATATTAAAATGTGTTAGAACCCAAGGCTGTGAGACTCTCCATCCCGGGCAGGCTATGCACCCACTTCACCCGGATCTGGTTTATTTGCCCAGTTAAGGAATAACCCATTCTGGGTAGGGGAATTTCCAGGTTAACAGAAACTAGGTTCCTTTCTGATGACCCAGTCTCCCTTTTAATTTGGTTCGATTTGGGGGTGTCCAAAACACCTTGGAAATCTAGGCTAAACTCTGACAATAGGTTACACACATTTTAAAACCATAGCCTCCATTGTATTTTATCCTCTTTTCAGGTGAAGTATCCCTAAATTTAAAACAATGTGTCTAGTTGTTAATCTGGAAACTAAAAATACTCTTTTCCCTGAATTTCCAATTCGGAGAGGAAATATGAATTACTCTTTTTCATTAGTATACAGGTTACATGAAAAATAATTGCATCTCATGTTGAAGGTGCAGGGTCATTCTTACAAGCACCAACTTCTGTGATGTTAAATTGCATAGCTGTCACTAAATTGATCCTTGTACTGTCATGCATTCTAAGCAAGTTGGGTTTGCAGGCTTTTCTGTATGTGTGCTTGCTTTTCATAGTTTCTATTTAGTGATCAGGCTTTAAACTGTCACTTCTTATTACTATCACTTTGCTTAACTCTTGTGTTCCCCCTCACTAGCCCTATAATTAGTTGCTTCTAATCTGCTTAGGAAATCAGATAAGTATGCTTGTTAGATTTGTTTCCAAGGGGTAAATAAATAAAATGACCAAGTAGGACCCTATGTCTGCTGCTTAATAGGCTTTTTTCTTCTTCTGTTCCTTGAGAAGGATATCCATTCAGATATTAACTGGGAGAGGTCTGCCTTCTCGTTGCAGTTTGATTAATGTGATATCTTCAGTCTTGGGGAAAGTACATTAACTTCCCAAAATGTACTCTTTCTGAGGACAGAAATGGAACCACTTCTGTTTTCTTCATCCCTTGTCTCCCCTGTCATTTTTTGTGTGACATCTAGTACAGCAGCACAGATAACCCCCTCATGATTTCTCTGGCCACCAAGTTATCTGCCCAGAACACAAGAATATAAATAGAATGAAAAGTAAACATTTGGGTGCTCTATTTTAGCTTGAAACAATTTTTTTTAGAGAAATGAAAATATGGGGGGATAAAGTATGAGGGAAAAGTTTTGTATTTATCCACATGTTATCTCTATTGCTCTTCCTTCCTTTGTGTAAATCCATGGTTCCAATTGGTACCATTTTTCTTTTGCCTGTAGATCTTCCGTAACATTTTTTTTAAAGCTCAGGTCTGTTGGTGACAAATTATTTATCTGAATAATTATTATTTTGCCTTTATTCTTGAAATGTATCATTACTGGATACAGACTATTAGGTTAATACTTTTCATTTTTTAAATGATGTAATTCCATTATCTTCTGACTTAAAGGATTTTTGATGGAGTCTACTGTCATTTCTATGTTTGACCTTTTATATGTAATATGTATGTGATGTGTCTTTTTTCCCGTGACTGCTTTTCTCTGGTTTTGAGCAGTCTGATGATAATGTACCACAATATGTTTTTCATTGTTTGTGTCTTGCTTGATGTTTTAGCTTCCTGGATACATGGGTTCCTAGTTTACATAAAATTTGGAAAGATTTTGGCCATCATGTCTAAGTCTTTTTCTGTGCCCACTCTCCTCCCAGTCATGTTGGGAGTGCAGTTTCGTGTGTGTTAGACTATGTAGTATTAACCTGTGATGGGTCTGTAAGATTTTATTTCTTTTATTTACTTTTATCAGCCTATTTTATTTCGGTGCTTAATATTAAATACATTTTATTGCTGTGCAGATCTGTCTAATCCCTTTGAGGCCCATTTTTAAGCTCTGATAGGACATTTTTAATGTATTCTTGACCCTAGAAAGGCCTGGCCTCACTGGAGTCTCAGATATCTTGGGGGATTCACAAAAAACATTCTGTTACAGCAAAGTGCCTCACCTCTGTGTCCCTGCCCTCCAAAGGTCTCTGGAGACAAAGAAGCTGAGGGCAGCACACAGAGAGATGGAGGAAACCCTTATTATGCTGGTGAGGTCTGAGGAGTTCATGCTCCAAAGTCTGGGCCCGGATCGGAAATGGAAGCAGTCTTATATAGAGATCTATGGGGTCTTGGGGTGGGCCCACATACCGGGCAAGGGTGCTCACAGAAGTGGGAGGCAGGAGTTATGGAACGTTCCTGAAACCTGTACCAGGCGAGCATACTCATGGCAGCAAAAGGGTGGAGTTAACAGAACATTCCTGAAACATCTGGTGTGAACATCCTGCAGCTTAGTTATTGCTTGAACAGAAAATCCTGTGGAAAAAGGTCTGCGGGGAGGCAACAGACAGCGGCCTACCCTGTTGTGCATTATTTCCTTATCAGTTTCACTGTGCTAACTGAATCCTGAACATATGCTTATTTTGTGTAAACTTTGGGAGTTGTTCAATGTATACTTTCCTGGTGCTTTTTTTTTTTTTTTTTTTTTTTCTGCTTGTGTAAGGTCTGGAACTTGGCACATTTTTGAAGTTTTCTTAATGTATAGCCTCCTTTTTGCTAGAACTCTTTTCTGTCATCTCTGTGCATCTCAGCCTCTCTCAACTGTTTTTCATTTTCTCAATTTGGAAGGCTATCATAAGTTTAACTTGGGTTTCCTTTCCCTGTGCTTGACCCAAAGTTGAATAGCTGTAGAGCTTTATTAATTTCCTTTCAGGATCAAAGTTCTGCAATACCCATTGTCAAATAGCTGCAGCTATATTATATATTATAGCTGATTTTCTAGCTATTTACTAGAAGCAGTTAAAGTCTGGTGTTTGCTATTCCATATTTTTGCAAGCAGAAACCCTAAGGATCTATTAAAATTTTTGGAAGTTGATTCTTAAGTCACTGAATACAATTTTTATGGCATGCCTCTGTGGCATGTTAGAGGACTAAACCAGGCTTTATTAACATTAATTTTTGAGTGAAGTAAATAGTGTTCTCATCTTCCCTGTTCATTTTCTTCCCACAGATTGGAACTCTTCCTGCTGAAAGCAGGATAATGATTAGAATTAGGTAATATGGTGGCCTAACGTCAGAGGCTTGGCTTAGGTGCTCTTACAGCGCCTCATAGGACAAATAGGCTGAGACCAGATCTTGTCACTGCTAATGCTGGCGTACTCACTGGTGACCTCTCCTTTGTCTCATACCTGTCTTTTACATTGGATCTCAGTTTTACTCTTGGGAAGGCCTGCTAAATGTGGTCTTCAGGTTATGACTCACCTTCTAAATCCTCATGGAACTGTATTGTATGCTAGTAGAACACTACATTATAAACCAGCAAAACTGATGTATGGGTTAAATGAAGCAAGTTGAAGCAGGATAAGACAATCTTGGAACCTACTTGGAACCTAATTAAAGGCACTTTGCATAAGCATGTGGGTTTGTAAAGCTGTGTTTCCCTCTCCCTCCCGCAGTGAATAAAATAAGCCATGCAGTTTGAAATGCGTTGTTGGTGAGCTATGGGGCCATGAGTGAACCCAAGATTTGGTTGTTGATAGTGCAGGTAGGAAGCAATCAGATCAGGAAAACAGTGGTAGTCATATCTATTGCTGGTTTTCTTTTTTGGTTAAAATTTTTCTTCAGACCTGTTAGTAATGATCTAATCCCTTTTCAGAAATTATTAATATTGCCTGCTACAGATGTGATTTTTTGTTTGTTTTTAATTACTTCAAGTTTTTTTAGCCTCCTGAATAACTCACACTTGGTAGATAAGCCCTTGTTATTTGGTATTAAGCATCATGTTGATTTCTGAGAACTAAGAAGTGCTTCTTTTTACTTTTAATACAACTTGAAGAATAGAGTACTGATAGGACCCACTGCTATTTAAAAGTTAATGCACCTGTGAAAAAATGTTCCACTTACTAAAAGAGAAACGTAACGAAGAAGAAGCATTTTTTTTTTTGGTGGGAGTTAAATTGGCTGGAGTTTAAAAATGATAACTCAGTGTTGGTAAGGATGTGGTAAAATGGGTACTTCTTTTAATTTCTAGGAAAAATGTACCTCTTTGTAGATATATTTGCAGTAAATATTAGATACTTTTGACACAGGGAACATTGCTTCCAAGGATTTCTTTCTTAAAACTGAAATTTTAACAAAAGTAAAATACATGTAGAAAGGTGATTATTTTAGGATTATTTTTAAGGATATCAGAAGCATTCCAAATATCTAACAATGAGTGTTTCAGTTGTGGCATTTTCTAATTCTGAAGTGCCTTAAATAGTGTTTATAAAAATATTTGGTAATGAAAGAAAGGTCATATTTGAAGCAAGCAGTATTCCAAGATGATACACAGGCTCAGATATTATTTAAAAATACATGAAACACAGTTCGAAATATTTTTTTGAATTGGAGTGGGAGGGCATTCTAGATAAACGAAAGGGCAGACATGATCTTAGTAGCTGCATGATGGATTTAACCTGAGGCTTCCAGACCCCGGTCAGATACCTTGGATTCTAAAAGTGGATTTGTCTCTAAGTCTAGTGTTATTTTCTGTATAAGTGAAAAAAGTTCTCTCTGTATCTCTTTCTGTCTCTCTCTCTAATGACATCTGTGCTTACTATTCAGATAAAAATTTTGATGATGAAGATTCCGTGGATGGGAATAGACCTTCTTCTGCCAGTTCTTCATCATCCAAGGCCCCAGCAAGCTCCCGGAGAAAGATTGGAATGGGGACCAGCCGCCGGCTTGGGTCATCTGCTCTTGGATCCAAGTCTTCAGGTAAGTCTAAGCCCTGTGTGGTATTCTGGGGCCAGATCTGCATGGTTCTTGTCTGCAGTGCCCCTCAGGAGTGAATTAGCCCCAGATACAGCATATTGCTGCTTGATGTCTTTAATTGAATTGCTGTTGTACCATTGAGGCTGATAAACAGGTAGGATGTAAGATTGAGAACTGTGTGGAACTTTGCTACACTCTGGTGAAGCAGGCTGTAGGAGAACAAAGCCAACACAGAGGAAAGCATAGCTGTGAGACAGAGAGCCAAAGTACACCTGATGGCGTTGTTCAGTCTTGATCTAGCCTGCTGGAAACCTGTATGGTGGTCTTGTAGCCAATTTCTGATTTCTGAGACTGAGAATATCTAGAAGTCAGATTGCATCTTCTGTCTTTAAAATAATTTTTGTTTTTATAGGTAGCATTATTCCTCACAAGACCAGCATGGATATTAAATTCATATGATAGACTATTAGGTGTCCCAAGCTCTGAAAGTTGATTTGCGAAGATTTGTTCCATAAATGTCATCTCTAGTTTAGTCATTCTGACTTATTGCTATGTACATTTCTCATTTTGCTCTCAGATTTTATGCATACATGCAGGTTCCCTTTTTACCTCTAAAAAATTATATGGTCTGTGCTTTTACCACAATGTCCAGTGGGCTTTTGATCAGGGCTCAGTGCTGGGGGGAAGCTGGGTAGGAATCCAGCAAGCCAAAGAACCAGCAAAGCTGAATGAGCTGAGTGAAGGCTACACAGGATCAGCATTCTCTGGAGGGCCTCCTTACAGTCTTCCCTAGATTTCAGATTCTTATTCTTTCCTAGTTTCCTAACCAGCCCTGGAATACCAGTGTGTGTTGCCTAGGTCAGCAAGGAGCCTGGACCTCCTCCATCCATCTCACTTGCCTCTCTCTGCCTTAGAGGGCTGAGCTTCTGGCAGAGTATTTACCATGGGCCCAGCAAAAGCAGGGAAGCATTGCTTTGCTTGTTATGTTTGTTGTTCTCAGTTCTTAACTTTTTGGGTGCATTTAAAAAAAATAATTATTTTGTTTTGAGCTTAAATGTATATAAAATTAACCGTTTTAAAAGGAACGTTTTCAGTATTTCATCTACCTTATAGCATGCATCAGATCTGTTCCTCTTAATGACTGAACAATCTTTCTAAATTTCCTTCTCAATTTGTCCTTAGGCAACATTATTTCCACAAACAGGCTTAGAGAATTTCAAGGCAGATGTGGCACCACTGAGCTCAGGCTTAAATCCCTGGCTCAGGCTTAGAGAATTTCTGTAAGAGCAGAGCCCTGCTTTCTTCCCCCATTCAGAAGTCTCTGCCAGGTCACCTGTGCAGAGATACCAGTCCTGTCTGCCGCTCAGCCCTTCATTCACCCTTTTCTTGTTGTGTTTAATATCATAGTCATGACTTTCTTGCTGTCCTTGTGCTTATCAAGTCCCTTGGCCTTGAGAGGATTGTTGGCCTTTGCGTCCTCTTTCCATATGCAGGTACATACGTGGATGGTGGGGTGCAGTGCCTAACAGAGAGGGTGGAAGTGCTCAGGACCTGTCTGCTCAGTGGGTTCCAGTGTTTATGCTGAAACAAACCCGAGGATGTGGGGCACTGCATTCCATTGTGTGGCTGTTGTACCTTTATAGTCAGTACAATGAGCAGTCTTCATCAAGAGCTATGCCACCACCTGGAATTGTCTTTAAAGCGCTTCTCTGTCTAGGAGGTCCATCTGGACCTTAAACACCAGACAGATGTTTTGGTAAAGCTTCTGGTAAGAAGCTTTTAGAAAAGTAGTCAGGCTAATCAGGGCAATCACTAGTAGGGCTTTGAGAGGGATAGCCATAGATACCAGTTTAAAAGCTGACATTCTAAAACACAAATCTGATAAAATGTCAGTTGATTTTCATGTGTGAGGTATAGTCATGTTAGCAAAGAGGTATAACTTTTCTCTTAATGATAGCAATTCACTTTTTTTTTTTTTTTTTTTATACTAGGAATTGAACTCGGGACCTTGCACTTGGGAGGCAGGGGGCAGAACCACTGAGCTAAATCCCCAGCCCAGCAATTCACATCTATCTATCTATCTATCTATCCATCTATTGTATGAATCAGCAAGTTCATTTCACATATTCCGTACTGTCTTCTGACCAAAAACAATGAAAACAACAGCAATTAACTGAGCATATACTAAGCAATAGAATTATGCTACAGCATTTATATACACTATATCATAACATTTGTGCAACCACCCAACAAATGTATATTATTGTATTCTTTTATTACCGATTAAGAAATAAACTCAGAAAAATGAATTAATTGACCTAAGGCCACACAGGAAAGGCAAAGCCAGAATAGGACTGAATGTCTGCCTCATTCTAAAGTTACAGCATGACCATTTTAAATATATACCTTTTTTCTCCTTCACTTCCACTTCCACATCATCATAATCATAAGCAATTCACTTTTAAATACACAAAGCATCTTAGGATAGTTTTGTAGAGGAAAGTTGTAAGTGATGCTTAAATCAAAATTAAGTTACAGCTCATAACTATAATCCCAGCACTCGGAAGGCAGAGGCAGGAGGATTGCCACGAGTTCGAGGCCAGCCTGAGCTACATAGTTCAGGGCCAGCCTGTACTATAAAGTGAGACCCTGTCTCAAAAAACTAAAAAAAAGGAAAATAAAATTGTTACAAGTTTGAGGAAATAGAAATGCTTTGAAACTACTACAAAGTATGATTAAAAAAATACTGTGACTATTTGAATTTCAGAAAAATCACAATGAAAGACCCATTGCTCTTAATCTCTCGGAATACTCTCCTTACTTCAAACACACTTCTCCTGTCAACTCTTGCCACTTTCTGAAGCATTTCTGGAAACCCTTTCTCACGTCTTTAGCTGCACTGTCAGGGCTGCCCCAGTGTGTCCTGAATCAATTCAAAACATTTACTTTTCATCACTTTGACTTTGAAGAAGAGCCAGCAGTCATGTGGTGCCAGATTCTGTAAATGAGGACATGCTGCAAGGTTTTTATGTGACAGAAATTGCCATAAACATTTGAACAATAAGGTGTAATCAAAACATGTGGTGAATGTTTAAGATTCATTACAGTAAAAGACATGTTGCCATTAATCCTCTTGACCATATTACCTCATCATTTTTGTCAATGTGTCTTTTATTACAATGTTTCAAAATTTAAACATTCAGTCACCACTTGTATAAAGTTAGTATGAAACTGAAATTCTTTAAATCTTGTTTGAATGCTCACAAGTGTAGTATGGTGAATTCCCAGTAAGCATAATCTAATCCCTTAAAATTAAATTTTCTGTTACATGTTTATTAGTAATCTTTATTAATATATATCACCTAACTCTTTTAAAATTCAAACTGTGCTTTAAAAAGTAGTCTAAGTAAGCCAGGAAGGTGGTGGTGCACACCTGTAATTCCCGCACTCACGAGGCTGAGGCAGGAGGATCGCCTCAAGTTCAAAGTCATCATGGGATACATAGTGAATTCAAGGACAACCTGAACTACACAGGGAGACCCTGTCTCAAAAAAAAGTAGTCTAAGTGACCTTGAGCTCAGTACCTAGCATTGCACAATGACGATACTTCATCTTGTTATCAAATCAGTAGCATTTGTTAGTTCCATGCTGTACCTAAATCTATGTGAAGTATTTAAAAAGATTCTAAATCTTCCAAAATGTAATTTTAGCTGTGTATATTCAAACTTTAGTAATGTATGTTTTGATACATCTATGTAAAATTGTCTGTGTTGTAAAAATTAATATATTTTACAGCTGCAAAAGAAGGTGCTGGTGCTGTTGATGAAGAAGACTTTATTAAAGCATTTGATGATGTCCCTGTAGTACAGGTGAGAATAATTGAGTAGGATTAAAAGCAGGGCCGAAACATTTTTCAAATTTCATTTTTAAAACATGTCTGTATTAGCTTTACTACAGTGAAATACCTGTGGCAACTAACTTTATAAAGAAATAGCTATATGTGAGTATAGCTCACCTTTGGAAGATTCAGAGTCCTAAGCTAAGGCTTAGGGAGGGCAGCCCCTTGACTGCATTACTTCAGTGCATGATGGCTGACAGTAATGAGAGCGAACAAGTGATTGCCTGTTTTATGGGGAGTGGGGAGAGTACATACATGTTACACAGAGCGTGGGGCCAGACTAGAACTTTGTTCTGAAAACTGCCTCCTGAGGGCCACTCCAGGGACCCAGTGCCCTCTCACTGTGCCCCACCTCCTAAAGGTTCCAGTACCTTCCCGTAGCACCACCGTGAGGACTAGGCTCCCACACATGGGTCTGTAGGGGACACAGCAACACTGTGATACTGCCCTATATCGAATCCTGTACTGGGTTTGGTAATTTTAAAACCATCAAGATTATAAGAGATTTGATACACAGATTAGAAAATGTTGGAACCTTTTAAATGGCTGAAACGAAGGCTGAAAGTCAAAGCCCGAGGTTATCTTCTGGTAAGAACAGGAAAGAAATTGATTGCTCTTGTATTGTTGCTTTTGTTTTGTGTTGATCAGGTCATATGAAAGAAAAATAGATGATTAGGTTAGATGAGAGAATAAAAAAACACTTCTAATGAATTTTTTAAAGAAAAACAATTATAAATTTGAAGAATTCTGGTATCTGGAAAACTATAGAGCATGGTGTGGTAAAAGCATAGTTTATGTGTAGTTTAACTGTGAAGCAAAGATTATGTAGTACATTTTGGACTACTCTGTTCCTCGGTATCTGTTTCTGTTGACTGGGGCCAGTGCTTTTTCTCGGCCTGTCGATTGTGTTGAGGATCCTCTAGCGCTCGCTGTTGCATACAAGCTTGCCCCCTTGGGTGCCATGTGTGCATCAGTCAGGCACCAGGCACCATGGGCTCAGGCATCCTTCATTGCTTGTCGCGCCTTCCCTTCCTTTCCAGCGTGTGTCAGGATGTGGGGATGTGAGGGAGTAAATTTGAAAGCGTCTAAAATTACAAGTATAATGTTATAAGCAGTGCCACAGTTGATAAATTACTTATGTATCACCGTTGCCCTGAAGTTGTATGTGAAATCCTCTCTTACACTTAGAGTAGAGCTGTGTTTAAAGTAAAGTTACTCATACCTGGCTAGTGGCTAGTGGCTGCATATTTATAGTGAGAAAGGAGCTCTGAGACAAACCTGCTCAGATGTTTTCTCATAGGTTCTTCGCAAAGTTAGAATAATTTCTTTTTACGATATTCTCATGTTCTGGAAGGACATTCTAGGTAGTTATTTAAGAAATGATCTTTATTATGCACATTGTCTTATATTGATCATATATTAATTTTCCTTACAGATTTATTCCAGCCGAGACCTTGAGGAATCCATAAACAAAATTAGGGAAATACTATCTGATGACAAGCATGACTGGGAGCAGAGAGTAAACGCTGTAAGCTCTTGATTGCATGTAATTGTATTTTCGTTAGATATTACATATTTTATGAAAGTGGAGGCTAACTCTAATGAGTTTTAAGTAGTAGGTATTTTTATGCTTTTCCTTTTTAGTAGAGCACTTTGCTTGTACTTGTATTTTTCAAACATGACAACTTAACCTGTTTATGTACCCTTGTTATCTTAAGTAAGACCTACCTGTGGCATGGCTGGTGATGGCCTCCACTCTTTTGCTGTAGTGAAGATTTAATTGTGTGACCCTTGGCCAGTACAGTGACCTTTTCAGTGTATATTCCAAATATTATTTTTATTCTTCATATCAGTCACCTAAAAAGTGGTGTCTCCTCTGTTTTTAGAAGTAGATAAATGAAAGAAAACATGTGAGCTAAACACTAAATGAGCATGTCTTAGCTGAGGAAGCTATTTACACTGGCTGGTCAATGAGAGGAAGTGGTAAAATCCCTATTGCATTCTGTTTTTGATTCAAATTAGCCAGTTTATAGTGTTGCAGTGGAGGATAATATAGAAATACTGAAGGAATGCTTCTTTTTAAAAATTTATTAAATGCAGTCGGAATAGGATGTGGGGTACAGTAAACATAGGGATTTTTGCAATCCATAATGGTTTTTAGGTAGTTACCATTAGTATCATAGAATCTATAAATATACTAAAATATTTCCAGCTTAAGAAAACACATCTTATAGAAACTACATTTATCACAGGCACTACATTTTAAAATGTATTTCATCTTAGTTGAGATATGTAGATTTGTTTGGCATACTAGGTAGTTGGTAATATGTAACTTACTGAATTCTTCTGGAAAACTATTTCTGTATCAGTTGAACAGTAATATTGATCTCATATTTTTGACTTGTGTTGCTTTGTATAGTCTGTGTCAAGAATTGTGTTTTGTTTATCTTCGCTTATCTTTATCCCATTAGCTAAAAAAGATTAGATCTTTACTTTTGGCTGGTGCCGCTGAGTATGATAACTTCTTTCAACATTTGCGTCTTTTGGACGGAGCCTTTAAACTCTCAGCTAAGGATCTGCGGTCTCAGGTAGTGCGTGAGACGTGTATCACATTGGGGTAAGGACTGCAGCATGTCCCATTGTCACCATGCAGTAGTATGAAAAAATGATATTTTATAGAATTGTTTCTCAGATTTTTCATTGATTTTTGTTGATAGGATGCTATGTGATTATCAGAATGTTTGTTTCTGGAAGAGTTCTATAAGTATTAAATTAGAAAGACAGGTATTACAATACTGTTTAATCCTAGCTATCATAGCTAATATCAAAGGAACAGCAGCATACAGCTATCTAAAGTTTTGGGGGCAGCAAATATTAAAGCAGAAAGAAATATTTTATATTAAAAATGAAAAGGGACACAAGGAAGTTTCTTTTTCTTTTTTGGGGGGTGCAGAGGAGTTAATAGGGATTAACCCAGGCATTGTGCAAACCATCTACTGCTGAGCTACATTCCCAGCCCGTTTTATTACTTTGTTTGAGACACGGTCTCACTAAGTTGACCAGACTGACCTTTAACTTGTGATCCTTCCGCCTCAGCCTCTTGAGCAGCTGGAATAACAGACATGTACCTCCCCACTTGACAGTTTTTCATCTTTATTACTAGTATATGACCATTTTAGGGGTTTGGGAGTTTTTTTGTTTGTTTGCTTGGGTGTTGTTTTATTTTGTTTGCTATTTTAAGGCTTGGTTGGAAATGATTAAGAAAGCTTTCTTGAGCTAATGACTATTTGCCAAACTACCTACATGCACATTTTAAAATTAACTTTTAAAGTATTTTACTTTAGTCTTTTATCTGTTGATAACAGCATGAGGGTGCTCAATGTTAAGAGTTTTATATACTTCACTGTTTATGGGAAATATAGCTACAAACCTGTATTCATTTCTTATTGTAGGCATTTGTCATCGGTTCTGGGCAATAAGTTTGACCACGGAGCTGAAGCCATTATGCCAACTATCTTTAATTTAATTCCAAACAGTGCCAAAATTATGGCCACTTCGGGTGTTGTAGCTATTAGGTTAATCATTCGGGTAAGTATGTTATATAGCCATATGTAAAATAAGCACTTGGTAAATATTGACAGCAGGATACACAGTAGAGACATTTCTCATTACAGTGATTATCTATTATAGCAGTCATGTTTTACCTCCGAAATTGACTTTTCTCCCATGTAATTGTAGTACATTGAGCTTTTCACCATCTACATTGTGAACTGTGGATATGCAGTCACTGAGATGCTGGCTGTTGATGCACCCCTCCTTGGTTTTAAATATCTGAACAGCTGCACCTACTTCTGGGCTTATTCTGTTCTTATGTCCCTGATACCACTTCATAATTCTGTTCTTTCTGTGTTATATATTATGCTTATAATTTTACTACTTATCCAAACTTTTAAAATTAATTACTCATAAGCACAGAAACAAAATCATCTCTTCAGTTAAGTTTGTAGGCCAGTGATGGCAAACCTTTTAGAACTTTCAGTGATACACACAGCCCACTGCAGCACACGTGGCAAACATAGGTCACCACACTGTTCTAGGCACTTATTTGACTATCTAAGTAATGTTTGTACAGATTTTTGATAAATACCACTCTTTTGCTGAAACTTAAGGTAAAATGTCCTATGTCACCTTCCATTTTCCCCAGAGAAAACTCTTAAAACTTCGGGGCTTATTGATGCTGACTAAAACCTATTCTGAATCTTCTTTATTATTGTGGGCTGTTTTGTACTATGTTTAGTTCTCCCTGTTCTTGCTTATACTGCCTACTTCAAATACTAAACACAAAGCTGTTGCTGTACATTTACGCTGAAATAGTGTCAGCATACTTCGGTGTGATGACTCCTTTTTGACCTACTAAGACAACTTAGACTTCATACCAGCGACGCCTTTGATTTTAGACTGACATATATTTCATGTTGTCTCTTCTTTGTCCGTAAATACTGTAGTAACATTTGACATTGCAGAGAAATTTAATGACATTTTAATTCTAGTTAGTAAGTAAGCATTTCTCTTAGTTGTGTTTTGTTCTGTTTTTGTATTGCAAGTGTTCCACCTGTGTTTTGTTCTTCTCCACAGCACACACACATCCCTAGGTTAATACCTGTCATAACAAGCAACTGTACCTCTAAGTCGGTCGCAGTTAGAAGGTAAATTTTTAAAGTGCTTCCTAATTATTTTTTAATTGCTTAGAAATCAACACAAACTCTAAAATCTTCTATGGATATAAACTTTCATATTTGAAATATTTAATATTATTTAAGATCCTTCAATAAATGCTTTGAATTGAAAGATCACAATCTAAATATTTTGGGAATAGAAGTTGACTAACCTGTAGTGTGTGTGTGTGTGGGTGGGTGTGTGTGTGTGTGTGGGTGAGTGGGTGTGGGTGTGTGGGTGGGTAAGTGTGCGTGTTTGGGGGTAGTGACAAAAAGAGAAGAAAAGACCCCTCTGTACTTTTTCCTGATGCTGTATTTGTTATTGGTCTGCTTCACTTCCTGAGCAAATGTGCATGCCCCAAAATAAAAAATAAAATAAATCAAAAAAATAAATACCACACACACCAGTGGCTATAGTTATATGTGAACATAGTTAGGAGGAGGTATGTGTTGTTTCTACCATCTGATAGTGATTTGGGGATTCTGAATCCTGATACCAATCCCAGACACTTGCTCTGCTGTGTAGATTTAAGAGGTATACCCAGAAGATACTACAGGCAAATATTTGTTCCCAAGTACTTGTCATGTGTCCTGGTGAGCTGCATTAGACAACATCTGAAGAGTCAGGACTTTGTTCTTCTAGCTCAGGTTGTCAATTCTTGACTTTTGAGTCATGTTAATATCTATGGAACATCTTGCTAGCCAGATGTAGTTACACGTAGGTTTTTAGGGAATTCATAACCAACACTAGGCCTATCAGTGGACCCTCTCAGGAGGCTTGCTGGATACATTAAAGGCAAGCCTGAGCAGCAACATTTTGGCCTCATTCTCATAGCTCTATTTCTAGATCCCAGCCCAGTGAAAGAGTCCTTTACTCCAAGGTGTAGAGCTAGCTTACCTTACCTGCCTGTTTGCTTCCTTTCCTGGGGAGTCACCTTCTTCCTACCATCATCTCTGGGTAGGAAACCCTCCTAAGCATGATGTGGGCCAGTGTCAGTCTATTTTTGTTAACTGGCATATAGAAACTATATATATTTATAGTGTACAAGGTGATGTGTTTGATAACACTGTGGAATGACTAAGTCAAATACTTAACATATGTATTACCCCATGTATTTGGTTTATATGGTGAGCAAATTTTAAAATTATGTGTGGCAATTTTAAGTATGCAATATATTGTTATTAACTAGGGTTACCATGATGTACAATAGATCTCTTAAAGCTTTTTCTTCTTAGATGAAAATTTTTGTTGTGTGATCAGTAGCTCCCCAATTCCCCACTTCCCTAGCACCTGATAACTGAAGTTTGATTTCTGTGAATTTGAGATTAAAAACAATGACATCTGATGTAAGAGTGAGTGATAGTGTATATATTGTGGATTAAGAGTTTGCATAGGCTGGCGATTGAAGCTGGATAATATGAAGTTTCCTGAGAACCTTCATAGATGAATCATAAACTGAGGTCCTTTTTGAAAAATGAATAGGAAGGACTAGAAGAAAACAGACAAGAAAAATTCAGACTAGGAAATGGCCTGGATAAGGGGATGGAAGTAGAAGAATCAATGTGGTCTGGGTTGGGTCAGAAATAGGAAAATGACAGTGAGGAAAGGATGTGGGCAAAGTTCAGCATCCTGTCCTTCACCAGCTCTCACACTACATTGCAACCCAGGCTCATGGCTCCCCTGAGTGCTGCTAGAGTCTCTCTGCTCCTGGAGCCTGGGAACTGCTGCTTGTTGCTCTTGCTTTCTAGACTGTGTCTTGGGTATACTTGTATCTGTATCACGTGGCATAGGGTTAGGGATGCTTGAAGACTAATGGACTGGTTAATTGTCTGGATTATAAGCTGAATTGGGAGGATCATGGGAAAGAAAGTCTAGTTATTTCATTATAGAAAGAATACCAGCTATTTGTGTTTCCTGGGGTGGGTATTAGGACTATTATAATTTTCTTGCACAACGATAGGAAGTCAGAAGAAGGAAATTATGGATATAGGACACAAACTGGTGTGTAACCCAAAGAAAATGAGGCAGGAATCATTTTTGCGATGTAAAGCAGACCAAGAAAGACCACAATAATGAAAAGTCTTCAAAAAGGATATGGAAGGATTTATGGATAGAAAGCTGCCGAGTAGCTATAGAAAATTCATTTTAAGCACTAGTTGGGTCCTTAACAGGAAAATTTGGAGAACACTTGGTTTTCCAAAATATTTTCTACTTTTTGTGTGTGTGAGGATTCTGTAAAATTAGTGAAAAAAGCAATTCCCTGATTCAGTAACATATGTTAATCTTTTGTGCATGTGCACGCTCTGTATTAATATATTAGGATAATAGAAAAACAAGTGATGATGATAGACCCTTTTAGTAATGTTGCCTTGAAACCCAGAAACTCAGATCTCCTGACCTCTTGCCCCTTGACCACTACCTGTGCCTTCTCACTTTCATCTGCTTTGACTTTTAGTGAGTTCTGATTCTTCTTTATGTTCCATTTTTGTCTTACTAATAAAAATTAAAGAAAACCATCATAAGAAGTAGTATGGAATCACTCAAAAAGTCACTTTTTTATTTTGACTAACATATATATTACTAAGTGGTATATTTCTTAACTTTCCAGGCGCTGTTTTGAATTTTTAGATTTGCTTTTACAAGAGTGGCAGACACATTCACTGGAAAGGTGAGCACATCTGATTTGAAGCTGTTTCTTCTCTCCATTGAGTTTTGAGATTGAATCCCCCAGCGAGTAGCCTGCCCACCTTGGTTAAGAAATGAAAGCATCTAAGCATTTGTTTGCTTGGCCATGACTGTTGCTGCTGATGTGAGTCATATAACATTTGCAGAACTTTTTAGTGAATGTCAATGATTGAAATATTAGTGTGCCGGGAAATAATTAGTGTGCAGACAGCTGCAGAGCCAAGAGTCACTCTTTACTGATGCCGGTCCTGCTGCTTGATATGCCTGCCAGATCCTAGAAGGAAAGGTTTTAAGCTGCTTTCAGCTGGCTGTCTGTAACTCTGCTATGCTTAAAGGAGCATCCCTCATTTAGAGTACTCCTTTTTTTTCTTCCTTTGCATATATCAGCAGTTGTTCTTATTCAGGCCCATGTATGGTGACTTCCATTCATCATAATTCAAAAGTAGGATTGTGGCAGAATTTTTCAAGAAGCATGTCTTAATTTTGAGAGTCCTTCTTTGACATTCTTACTTCCTGTCAATTTTAGGTGCCTGTCATGCTGAGTTAATTTGGAGACAATAGATGATAGCTTGCCACAGTTGCTTTTTCACAGTGTATTATGTACTTTGTGAAGAGCTTTAAAGGATAGTAAATAGTGGACAAATAATGGAATTTTAAGTATTAGAAATTCCATAATAGCTGCAGCAGTCAGAGATAAAACAAAGCCAAGCCTGCTAGAAAACTTCATCTGGAAATACTTTGAATATAAAAGAAAGTCACATACCTTTTCTAGTACTTTATTAACCCTTAATCTCTTGGACATTACATCTTCTTTATTGGTTCATGGCTTTAGGACTTAGAGGTGGAGAGTGAAGTGAGCGATTTAATGTGTCAGGTGAGCAGAACAGAGAAACCCAAGGGCTTCAGATGTAACTTCATGTATTTGTTCACCTCTCCACCCTGTACTTAATAGATGACTCCTAAGTGTTTGTCAAAAGACTGAGGCAAGGACTTTGAATGGCTGGGAAAATCGCTCACTGTCTTTGTTCCATGAACATCTTAAACTGTTCATTCCACTCATGTGGCTTATCTCAAATGCTGTAACTTTGTGAGGCTTGTCACTAATTTCTTCTTAGGGTAAAATATACCTAAAGGAAATTTATGTAATGAAATGGTTAAGTAATTTTAAAGATTATTTATGTTAAGGCAAATACAGTGGCACATACCTGTACCCCCAGCTACTTGGGAAGCTAACACAGGAGGATTTTGAGTTCAAGGCCAACCTGGGCAGCATTGAGAGACCTGATCCCTTAAAAACAGAAACAAACAAAAACTAATCATATTAAATGATAGCAGAACTTGAAATAAATATTATTTCACTCTGGAAATATGCAAAAGCCTCCTTATGTTGAGATTATTATTATCATCTCATTGTAATTCTGTAGAAACTGGCCATAGAAAGTCAGGATTTTATTGTTTGGGTTTATAAAAGATTGAACTAAATAAATAATGAACTAAAAAAAGTCACCTGAGATTTAAAAACTCACAGAAGAGAGTAGCACCATCTGTTTCCCTAGGTGGGGTTGGAGTGAAGAGGTACTGAGCCAGGATAGGAAGTTAAGCCCTGAGGAGCATTCTCACCCTTGGAGCTGTGGGGCAGTGACTGGCCTTGCAGCGAAGGCTCCACATCCCACATGGCTGTTCTGAAGTTGATTCACAAGCCTTCTACACAACCTTATGTTTATAACTGTCATTGCTTTCTTTTCTAAATGTCTAGACACATATCAGTATTAGCAGAAACAATAAAGAAGGGAATACATGATGCTGATTCTGAAGCAAGGATAGAAGCCAGAAAGTAAGTTTGTATTGTATACCACCTTGTTTATGTTATATGTGCTTTGTATGGATTAAAAACCCATAAATTTACTTGAATATTTTTGTTTGTCTTTTAAATATGATCCCTGTGGCCATTTCAGAATATTCCTCGGTTTTGTTTATTTGTTTTTTGCCCTTTAGAAGGTTGGCTGAGTACTGTGTTGATTTACCATGAAAAATCTTGGCCACAGGGGATTCCCTCCCCATGGTCATATCTTTGCAATTAAGTGAGAATCTTGGTAAGGGAAGTTGGGTTTGGATTAGCTCATGTTTAGAATTATCTCAGTGATAAGTGCTGTTTTGATCCCACAGTGGAGGTGCATTTGCCATTAGGACTGAGCATGCACCAGTGATGTGGCTATTGTCCTGGGACCCCCACCTCCTTGGGGGTAATTTTGATATGTGATTGTAAATACCAGAAGTTTGATATTAAAACTTACTTTCTGGGGCTCAGTAGAGTGCATACCTAGAGTACAAGGCCCTGGGTTCCATCTCCAGTGGTGCAAAAAGGGAAAAAAAGACTTAGGAAATGCATCGATAACTCCTGCCAGTTTTGTGTTTGTGGTTGTTTTTTCCACACTTTCTTAGTTGACCAACCCTTCCAATTGACATAGGTTAAAATCCTGTCTTACTCACCTGAAATATTACATTTCTATTTAGCTGCTTTAATATGTCCTGATGTAACATTACTTTTTGACTGCCCTCACAGTTCAATTATGTTTTCCTTATTTCTGGGTTTATTATAACTCTACAGTGTTTATCCCAGTCTTATCTTAGTTCCTACCAAGACAAGTGACATAATTAGTAGTTGCTAAAAACCTCAATAAATGGCTTTGTAATTATCTGCTGTTTTTAATCCTTGTGTTGTTCTACCCCAAGTTTTTGCTAGTTTTTTTTTTTTTTCAACTGGAGATTTTATTCAAGGGGTGGGAGTAGAGAGAAAGAGCAGAGAGAGGAGGAAGAAGAAGAAGAAGAAGGAGAGCAATTTTTGCTAGTTTTAATGTAATACAGATTTCAAGTAGCTCTGTACATGTTTCCATTTTTCTGTTATAATGCTACTTAACGGCAATTTTAAATATGCAGATTAAGGAATATCAAACTGCATTTATAAAAGCTACCATTAATGACTCCATCTTGTGTTCTAATTGCAGTTCTATATGTTTTAGCTCTGCCTTCCCTCAGGCCTCCAGCCTTGTAAGTTAGGTTGTTAACATCCCGTTCTGTAAATGGGACCGAGGTTCATAGAAGTGAGTGACTTTTACAGTACAGTATGAAAATGCCAGTTTGCTGGTAGGCCTCCCTTGTTCATCCCTTCCCCTCATACCCTGCTGCTGCTGTCAGCACCAGGCTGCGGGCTCAGGCCCTCAGAAATGTGGTATATTAGGCCTAGACCAAGAGTTTGTCTTTCCCTAGATGTTACTGGGGCTTCCACAGTCACTTCAGCAGAGAGGCAGAGCACTTGTACCACACCCTGGAGTCCTCGTACCAGAGAGCCCTGCAGTCCCACTTGAAGAACTCAGACAGCATCGTGTCTTTACCGCAGTCTGACCGCTCATCTTCCAGCTCTCAAGAAAGTCTCAAGTAAGGGGCTTGGCTTTGATCATCACAGTGTGGCAATGTGTATTTAACCGTTTGCTGCATGGAAGCATGAATTCCAGCAGTGTCTGTACATGAGCGTGCCTGTTAAAGTTCCCCGTCTTCAGGTAGATCCCGAGTCTGATAAGGTACTGTGTAGAATGCTGAGAGGTAGCCTTGGTCTCTGCCTTAAGTAGTTTTGTTAAGTTTATGTGGCAACCTGGAGACTAGTTTTAGACTAACAGTAAATTATAAAAACAATTGTGTAATATATATGTACCAACTCCTGCAATGAGTGCAGTTTTTATGTACTGTAAACATGTACTAAATCAAAAATTTTTTTAAAGGAAAAAATAAATTACAGGGCAGGGTGAGACTCCTGAGAGGACATGTTGTTAACTCAGCGGTGTTAACAAGGTGAATTGAGGTGAGGGGTGTGGCATTTGAAACCTGGGATTTAATGATTTGCCATCTTCATGTTGCATTTTTGTTTCTGTCTCCAGTGGTTATTTCACTTTGTGTTTGAAAGGTCGTCCCAGGTGTAATCCTACAACTTTATCAGAAATGGGGTTTGTAAGATCCTGGCCCAACCGGAAAAATTCTGAAAGCTCTGAAATAACTCTTTATTGTCATAATTTCCTGTTGTAGTTTGTATTTATATTACTGCCAGTAGAGTGTACTCTTGATAGTAAACATTTGTATACCTTGCTTTTTAGTCGGCCACTGTCTGCCAAAAGAAGTCCTACTGGCAGTACCACATCTCGAGGTAAGAGGAACAGTGCAGGGAAGGCCCGACCATGAGCCTCTATTCCTGCCCAGGGTGCGGCTCAGCCCTGCAAACCATGCTCAGCGTAGGAAGTACCCACCTCTCTCGGCCCTGCCATCTGATGTGACTCAGCAGAGCTCTGCTGCCATTGTCAGGATGACTGTGACTGTGGCGATTCAGCTCTGTGACCGTTTTTCCCCTTCTCCCTCTGGTGTGGTGCTGCTGCCACAAACAGTGCTGCTTCTGTCTCAGTTCTCACATCAGAGGAGAGTGATGTTCTTCCAGGCAGCAGCCTGGTGGCCATTAGAGAATGGAGAAGGGCCTGTTTCCTGGAAGGGAAGGGTTTCTGGCTGCCCTACACATTCGTGCCACGTCATGAGAAGTCTGGCAGATAGTTCATAATGTTCCTTATTTCATTTCTTCTCAAGTAGCCAAAATTAAGGGCTATTGGGGGAGCTGTAGTTGATTATGAGAAAACAAGTATAGTAGGTAACATTGCAGTCTGGGCACCTAGTTGCCTTCAGCGTTGCCTAAACTCCCATCTTCGGGGCAGGAGAAACGACTGATCAGTCTTTTGGACTCCAGCCTTTGGTACAACTTGTGTTTGTTTTCAAGAAGAGTAAATCATTGAGTTTTAACATATGTTTAAAATTCTGAACCAGGCGTGGTGGCGCACGCCTGTAACCCCAGCACTCGGGAAGCTGAGGTAGGAGGATCGCTGTGAGTTCGAGACCCATCTGGGCTACATAGTGAGTTCCAGGTCAGTCTCAACTACATAGTGAGACCCTGTCTCAAAAAAACCCAAAGAAACAAAACAAAAATAAAATTCTGTGTCATTCTTACCATGTTTATTTTTTCACCTCAAAGCTTCTACAGTTAGCACCAAATCTGTATCGACAACTGGATCCCTCCAGCGATCAAGAAGCGATATTGATGTGAATGCAGCAGCCAGTGCCAAATCCAAAGCCTCAACTTCAGGCGCCATGCCCTTCGGCTCAGCAGCAGCTCTCCCTCCAGGGTCTTATGCATCTTTAGGTAACCAGAAACACCTCTCTCTGCAGCCCCAACTGCTGTCCAAGATGAGCTTGACCTCTGAACACGTTATAGAACACTATAATTGAGGGGAGTCTCGCTGATTTATAAATAACCTTGTGCACTCAGTGCCAGCGCCTGGCCTCCTTTTACTGAGTATTGCTTTTCCCTGGAGCGTCATCCTCTAGTGACAAGTGAGGACGTTTGTGCTCACAGGCTCAGTAGCCCCGAGCGTGTCCTCCCTAGCTCATCTCCTCCGTGGTGAGCCCAGTCAATACTCACATCACAGCTGACCTCGCCCTTCCCCTTCCCACCCCCAGCATGGGTGGGAGCAGGACTGGGGTCTCAGTGAGGGACTCACTTGCCAGATAGGCACTGCAGCTAGTGTTACTCAGTTACTGAGTGGGACAAGAGGGCTGCAAGGGGATGATGGGCACCTTAACCAGTAAAACACACCTGTACCTCCAACTGCTGTCCCTCCATGGTCACCTGAGAAAAACACACCCCCACTGGAATGATTGCCCCAAAGAGGTTTTAAGCAGTTTTTTCCAAAATTTTAGTATCTAACATAATGGTAGGTCAATACTCTACACCCAGATTGATGGTTTATTTTATTGTACTTTTGTAAAAGCCGAGTCATTCAAACCCCTCATCAAGGACATGGCTGAATTGATTCTACTTCTTTTGAGTTTTAAGAAAATGAATAAATTTTGAACATAAAATACTGAAATGGAGTTACTGGTGGATTACTAGAATTTCAAAGTGAGCTCTAAAAGTAAAACCAGAGGTGGGAAGTACAGGGAACAGCAAGCACATGGAGAGTGCCCTGGGTCTGCCACTTCCTAGCTCTAACCTCCAGCAGGCCATAAAATGTGAGTGTACTTCCCTGCTCATAAATCTCTCATGATGATGGGCACCTAATTCAGATACCTGAAGATCAGTGAGATTATATGAAGGTCCTTTATAAACTGTCTCCCTGCCAGGTAGAAGAAGGCAGGGTTGTGAGAGGAACATTGATAGTTAAAGGTGTGGCCTAGAACATGTGGTCCATCAGAGAGGTGCTCTCCCTAGGAGGACTTCATGCATGCAGACAGTCCCGTGGGAAGAAGAAGCCCGGTCAGAGCGCTTGTTTTACCTGCTTAACTATTGCACCGTTGTGTAGGATGTTAAGATGCTCTCATGATTTGTTAGGGTTATTTGACCCACGTTTAGTATTTGTATTTGTAACTAGCATTTGTTTCAGGGCTGAAAAATGTGAGTGAAATCAGCCTTTAGACAAGTCTATACTCTCTTTTTTTAGACAGGGTCTCGCTATGTAGTTCAGGCTGGCCTTGAACTCATTACATAGCCTGGCCTGACCTCAGACTCACAGTGACCCTCCTGCCTCAGCCTCCTAAGTGCTGGGATTACAGGTGTGCGCCACCACACCTGGCCAGAGTCTGTTTTTCTGTGCATGTTTGGGGTGTTTGAATGTGACTGAACAGACTTCCCCCAGTGCTTCTGAAAGCCCCAGGTCTCTAGTCTAATGAGAGAGAACTGCCTTTCACAAGTACAGAGGACAGGTTCTCAGTCTAGTGCTGCCTCTTCAAATAACAAAATGCAGCACCCAGATTCTCTCCCCCATTTCCTGGGAATTCTCCCAGGACTTGCCTTGTTATGTCCCAAGATAAAACTGAAAACCTGAAATGGAACATAATCCCACTGAAAATCGTTAGTTACTGCTTAGGTTGACATGTGACACCTGTGCACAAGTATACCATTGAAGCTGACAATCCTTTTCCGAACTTCTAGAATCCAGACACGTGAGGGAAGACATGGAGTACATAGGCCTGGACTCAGGTACTGACTCGCCAGCTGCTGTGCTGCTGCTGGGCGTGTAGTTGGGTAGGCCTTGCTAGAGCCAGCCTCTCTGAGCTTCTTACTTGCCTCTGCCCTGTGGGTGACTCTCAGGACTTCACTCTTAGACCTTGTGTGCCGCTCCCTGCATTCTCTAGCACTCTCTTCCAGGGAGAAGGAACTCTTAGTCAATGAGGGTTGGCTAAAACAGAAAGCAACACTCATTCTTTCTTTCAACTGTGGCACAACCCTGGGCTGCCCTTTTGTGTTTTGTTCTCCAAAAGCCAAAAACACATTACATTGTGCTAAGTTAATTTCCGTCTAAGGCTCACTTACTTGCTTCAGACTCTGCTTTGCTGTTGAACTTGTTTCCTGTTTGATTTTGTTTTAAATTGTACTTTTGGTTTTTTAGTAGCTAATAACATTCTGCTTTTTTAGTTTTTTGAATTTAACTAACTGTTCCCTGTTATCCCTTCCCTTGTTTTTTAATTTGCTTGAAGATGGTACTACCACTAAAGCGGAGGGTAAGCGGTTTGTTTCTGTGATTGAGGTGTGTCTCACTTCTCTGGTCCTCTGTTCTCGCCAAGTGTTGCCCGGTGCCCACTTGCCCCCACCGAGGTCCCTGCATGAGATGTTGCATGATCTCCCCTCTCTTCTTCATTCTGTCTCCCCTGGGGTTCTGCCCTCCCTCTACCTGAGCTCACCACCTCCCTTCTTGTTCAGTCTTTGTTCTTGTGAATTCTGGCACTGAAGTATGCTATTTATCGTTCCCAACACCAAGTCCACACTATGGGGAGAAGCATTGCTGCCACATTGTGTGCTCCTGTCCTTGTGGGCTGCCTGTTTTGGGTTTTATTACTCCAGGTGTACCACCTGAGCTTTTGTTTTCTTTTCTTTCCCTTTGTGCTTTTGTGGGCCTCTCAGGATTTGCCTTTCCTGTTTTGAACATAAATTTCCATGTCAGTTATTCAGGTTAAAGGCGAGTAAAAGTTGACCAGGTAATATATAAAAATTTTTAAGAATACTTTTCTCTCCTGTGAAGTTACATGATGCTGCTTTTATTTTTGCCACTGGCACATGCTGAATTCATCTACTTGTCAGCCGTGTGTTAAATGCTCTCTGTTCCTTAGTACACTCTGAGGATATAGCCTGGTGAAGGAAGTAGGCAGATCCAAATCTACCTGATTTTCTTTTTATGCCATTGTGAAGAAGCTCTGTGGTTTTTGCATTGCCTTTTGAATTTTAAATGTAGCCATTTCAGTCTGGACAGATTTTTAATTACCACATATCATATAAGATCAATTTGCAAAATGTCTAGATAGAAAGAACTATTATGCTTTCAAAACAAGAATTTCTTAAGGTAGTTCCTTCAACCCACCAGTCCTCAGGATAACAACTTAACAATTGGGACCAGAGTGTTCAGTTTTGTATGTTGTTTAGCTGCCTTAATGGGTTAGCATGCAAAGTGAACTGAGATTTTGCTTAATGCATGCAGTTTAGTTCTTTTACTCCATATTCTTGTTCCTATAGGACTCAGGAAAAAAAGAGGAATAGGTTTTGCATTTTTTAAGATGAACATAATCGCAAGATCAGTGTTTCTGAAACTTACCTCATCATAGGAATTACTGGAATGCTTGCTAAAGGCACTCCTGAATCTCTCCCCTGAAGATACTAAGTAAGTCAGGAAGGATCTGGAGAGCCTGAATATCCAACAAGACTCTCTGTGATTCTTAGGAATGAACAAGGTTGTAAAATGAGAGTTTCCAAGATAAAGGTAGACAAGAAACCTCTATCCATATGTGGACCTCAATTTATGATAGCAGAAGGCTGAGACTGTGAAGCTGAGAAATGGTTTTCCTGATTTGTTCACCTGGCAAGAGTAATTTTATGCTTTTCCTCCCTAAAGGAACAATCCTAAGTGTTACTTTTAAAGGATGTGGAAGAGTAAAATAGAATAATGTAATGAAGTGGAAAGCAAAGACTTCCTCTGAGAAATCTGTGAGAAATGCCCTGTGCATTTGAATAGCATTGAAATTGGCCTGTCTTAACCCTAGGAATTTTAAACTTCTTTTCTTATCAGTCCCACAGTCTTGAGCAAGGTCACCCATTGCCTATCAGTTATTGCAAGGGACTAAATCTCTGGTTCTCCTTCTGGTAAGAGAAATAGTGACCTGATCTGTGGGCCCTTAAACATAGCACAGAATCAGACTATAGAAAAACCCCATTGAGGGAGCAGGGCGAGTGTCCTGTGTGACTGGGCTCCTTAGGAGACAGCCCCACTGGCTTCCATGCATCCTCATGAGCCAGACAGGAATGACTTTCTTGGGAGACCTCTCAGCTCAGCACATACAGGCTGTTCCTCTTCCTTTTATTTTAGCAGTGCAGCTCAGAGCTGGCAAAGCCACCACTGGTTATTAGGAAAAGGCTGTCAAAATACCACTTGGTGACTCAGCAATATGAATTTCCCACCTACATTTCTGAGAACAATTTTTTGTTTTAGTTTTATTTGTTTTGCTTGGCTTGCTTTAGTTTAGTTTAGTTTTTTTTCAGTGCTGGGGAATGAACCCCTTGCTTATGTATGTTAGACTAGTGTTCTCCCACCAAATTAAACTTAAAGCTCTAAGCCTTTTTAAATGTTGTCCATTCGTCTGTTAAATATCTTACCTCAGAGCCTCTGAGACGAGGAGAAATAGACTTTCATCATTGTGAAGCAAAGGGATGACTGAATCCATAGCTGAGGCTCTAAATTAAAATTGAAGCGATGTATTTGTACTCTAGCAACTGTATTATTGTGATTGAGAAAAAAGACTAGAATCATTTATTATCAACATCAAGGAACCCTTCTAACAACTATGACTAGAAGGATACTTTTGGTAAAGAACTAAAAACCCAACTTTTGGGAAAAAATGTATTTCTAGGTTACTTTTCATTATGTTCATTAAATTTGGGGATTTAGGCAAAGGAAGATTATGTTGCTCAGGAGAATTTATGACTAGGTATCGTGGTAAATGAAGGTACTCTTTTTGAAAGCTAATATGTTTAGGGAAAGCTTTGTTTATATTTTTCTCAAGATAGTTTAAAATGAAAAGTTATAGTCCTCTAATGGCCTGTGGGTATTGACAACTCAACAGATTCAAAGAATAGATAATCATTACGTTATAGTCAAAGCCCATGTCACTTTAACTTCCATTGAGTTTAATTAAAATATTCGATAAATATTACATAGCCTCATCTGCTCAGGGCAGGAGGTTATATTTTAGTCACTTTTACTGGAAGACAAAATGTTTGATGTTTCCCAAGAACTACGTGTTTATCCGTAAATTCTGAATTTTAAGTCATTTGCCTTTTTACGCAATGGGAAAAACATGTATGTTAGTACATAGAAGTAAAAGAATGTTGAGCTTGTTTTACATGTATTTTTTTTTAATATGAAGGAAATTACTCTTTTCAGGGGTGTAGATGAAAGTAGCAAAATTTGTAAGAGATTGAGTTCTTAAATTGTGGTTCTTTTAAACTGTCATTTTTGAATAGAAGTTGGTTAATTGTACCTCCAGGCAGTGAGATGTACAACAGATACGTGTGCTGAAATAACCTTGCTGATATAATGAGAATTGAGATTGAAGTCCTTTTAATCTTTAAATGTGTTAATTGAGAATTTGCTGCAATTTTTTAAATGCAGAGAACAAAAACATAATGATATGAAGCTGTCTGGGTATTGCTTTGTTTTGTTTTTTGTCTTCGGCTAACCTCAAGGTAGGGAATCTATACCTGCAAGTTAAACCTGGTACCCATGTTTAATTCCTTGCTTTTGAGATCTTTTCTAGAAAAATGGAAATGTGATTGAAAACAAAACTTGTAGTATTAAAATCCCTGAAATAAAAATGTTCTTTTTTGCCTGCCATGAAAGTTGAAGGCTTTGAACTCCTCTTAACAGTTTCTTTTCTTCACGGTCTGCATTGTTCTGATTGGGTTGGTTTATTGACGCATCTCCTGTCACTCCCTTTAGAAATTTCCTTTTGTTGCACAGTTATCTTTTTAAAAATTTATCTGACTTATACTGACGTTTTTCTTTCACATCTGTGCTCTCCCCCTCTCTCTCATAGATCACAGTGTTGAACTGGAATATATTTTAACTGTTTCTTGCCGTTACTGAGTAGACTATTTGTCCTGAAGACCACAGAGTATTTTATATCATTTCTTTAAGACATATTCAGGGACTTCTAGTTAATATTGTCAACTTAATAGAATAAAAACAAAACCTCTCTCTATAAAAGAAATTTGAGTATAGTACAACAAAGACCATATAAACTACACAGCTGCATTCCCCCAAAAAGGAGGAAAGTTCCAAACCAACAAGAGGATCAAAAACTGAAAGGACAAGCTTGAATTTTTAAGGTGCTCTGAGGGTAGAGTTATTAGTGAATCACTAGAGCAGACCAAAAACAAGACCTTAACTTTGAATTCACCCAAGGAGAAAAGTTAGAAGTTGCCATTAAGCCAGCATTGTCAACAGACCATACACCAATAAGAATATGTGGACCAGTGGAGAAAATAAAAAAATCTTGTCTCCAAATAGACATAGTATCTGACTTTGTCCTGAAAAAAAGGAAACACCAGACTTCCTCAATATTTTATAACAAATTGCTGTTCTCACACTAAGTTGTGCTTGCAATTTACTTTACCTGTGGTGTCTGTGAACCTGTGAGCTGATAATAAAGAAAGTGGTCTGTGTGTGTAGTCTCTGAGGATGCTTGCCAGGAATAAGCACTGAACTTCCACAGAAGAAGCCACTGGAAAAATCTGATTCCTCAGGGTGTCCCCTGATTAAAATCAACCAAATATGAGATTTTTTTCTATGCAAGAATATTTTTTCATAACAGAATAATTTCAGAATAACAGTACTTAATACATAGTATATCATATTACCAAATATGAGCTTATATTTAGAATTACATTCGTCTTATGTGAGATAATGAAAAAAAGTGAAAACAGACTCTTAAGGATCTGTTACAAAATATAAAAATAACCTTGTTAAAAGTGTTTAAAAGAAATAAAGGCTGGTGATTTAGCTGTTGTTCTGCTGTCTGCCTTGCAAGCACAAGGACCCAAGTTCGATCTCCAGTACCAAAAAGAAGAAATAAGGTAGTTGTATTTTCTAGAAAATTTGATATATTGAATTTGGTGACCAGAATGATCCTTCAGGTCACTACCAAGCAGAAACCAGAGCCCTAGAAGGTGATGGCTGAGGCTGGCTTTCACCCTCAGTTACTGGCTGAACCCTGGGCCCTTGGGCATCCTGTGATGACCGCATGGGACAGAGACAGGGTGAGCCCAGGGTATCCCAGACTGGTGAATCGGAAGTTAACTTTACCCACCTGAAGAGGTGAGTAGGGTGGTTTTTTATCTTAGCTTTGGTCCTGGTTGGAACAGGAAGTCATCTGGCCCTCTAATTACTTTGCAGCTTGCAACATAGGCCTTCACTCAGTGTGCTGTTAATTTATGCTGCCCTTGTGGTCTGCAAAGCCCAGTGGAGGAATCAGTTTAAGCTGACTGTGGGTACAGGGCACTAGCAGAAGCAAACATAGGTCCTCTTTGGAGGAATTCAGTTCCAATCTAGAGCTTAAAGAATTTTCATAAAGTTCCAAGAAAAGTGATCATTTCATTGTTTTAACATTTAAAGAAATAAAAAGAAATTTTAGAAAGCGGTTAATATGCTATTTGGAATGACCAAGCAGATTTTGAAAAAGAACAGACTGAACTTCTAGAAGTGAAAATATAACAGATTATTGAAACCAAAAACCGAGTACGTAACTGAGCTGCAAAATCAGTGTAGCTGAAGATAGAATTCATGAATTAGGAAGAAATTGTCCTTCCTACACGATGTGATAGAGAGGTTAGGTTATGTGAAAGATAAGTTAATCATGTCTGATTAGAGTTTAAAAAAAGAGGATGAGGCAGAGATGGTATTTGATGAGAAAATGATTGGGAATTTTCCAGAATTGATGACAGACAATGAAGACAAATCCACAGTTGAACATATCATTGTGAAATTGAAGAACAATATAGATATAATTATCTATATATAATTTTTTAAGCAGCTAGAAGAAAAAGTAGACTACTCATGAAGGAAAACGAGGAGGTGAAAAACAAAAATCAGTGAATTGGAATCAGATTGGTGGATCATCAGTGTGTATATCCTGTTTTTTATTTTGTCTTATAGTTTTGTAAGATGTTAAATTGTGGGAAAGAACACAGATGGTGTAACAGCTTTAAAAATGTAAGTCAAAAAATACAGAGGAAAATGAAAAATCAAAACAATTTAAAAAAAATGCATATAGAATTATAAAAATAAGGGGCCAGGGATTTAGCTCCATGGCTCTATACCTGCCTTGCAAGCACAGGTCCTGAGTTCAATCCCTGGTACCAAAAAAAAAAAAGCTCAAACAATTCATAATAGCTAAATCTTAGAAGTGGCCTGTGTGTCCGTCAGCAGATGACCAGATGAAGCAAATGTGGCATTTATACATTTGCCGGAGCACTACTCCGCCATAAAGAAAGACAGACTTGAGTCATTAGTAGGAAAAAGGATGCACCTTGATAACCATATTAAGTGAAATAAAGACAGTGTTACATGTTTCTCTTATATGAGAAACCCTGAATATACCATATAAATAAAGTTCTAAATGATAGACAATAGGGAAAAAAAAAGTTCCTGTAATCCAGTATAGCCAGTGATTTAGTATATGTAATTGTTTTATATATATATATATATATATATATTTTGCCTATTAGTCTGTTTGTTAATCTGTGATTATGATGATTGACCTTTTAAAAATTAATAAATCTGATGCTGGCCAAAAATCAAAAAACAAAAGGGAATGGAGGAGAAGGGGGAAAAATTGAGATGCGTTATACATGTACAAGCTCCCCACAGTTAATGCAGTCATGTAGCAAATTTGTACTAATATTTTTTAAATAAGCTCAAGACAGCCAAACTTTTCACTTGAACAAAAGTATCAGACTTGATTTTAAAATCTAGTTGTGTGATATTTAAATGCACAAATCTAATTTACATGGCTATTGATAAGTTGAGAAATACAAAGTATAAGAAAGCTTTTTGAAGATTTATCACCTGGACGTGGTGGAACACACTTGTAATCCCAGCACACCAGGAGGCTGAAGCAGGAGGATCGCTGTGAGTTTAAGGCCAGTATGGACGACATACTTTTAAGACCAGCCTGGAATATACAAAGTGAGACTCTGTCTCATAAAAACAAACAAAAACTTATTAACAGATCAAAAATGAAACAAAACAAAACAAAAATCCCCAATGGCAAAAAACAAAAAGGACAGCTATATAATAAAAAGTTTAATAAATTATGAACATAAAATAGTTCTAAATGTATACGAACCTCATACAAATCAGCCCATAATGAAGAGAGTTCAAAACTACTAATATTTTCAAATTCACGCAGTGAGAGATTTATAAAACTGCAAAATTTTGAACAGGTAATACTCTTCCCGTTCAAAACTCAGAAGACTTAAAAATCTTGAAGGTTTCCCTCCAGACTTTGTCTTTGATTTGCCTGCTTTCCACCAGCCCATTATGGTTTCATTGTTATCCAGAATTTCTTTGCATATAGAAGCAAATACAAAAATCTTAACTCTTTTCAAAATGTAGAAGGTAACCTATTAGATCTTAAGATTATTAATCTTAATTTCCTCATTCTTTATTAATGTTGTGCTGCAGCTCCCTATATGGACAAACCTTCTTTAACCAGTCCCTGCCTGATAACATTTGGCTGTTTCCCACTTTCTATCACAGACACTGTTACTATGATTAACCCACGTACATGTGGGTAGTTACCCAAGGAGTCATTGTTGAGTGTGTGCATTCATCTGTGGTGTTGACAGACAGCTCCCTAACAGCCTTCTGCAGCAGCTCTTCTAATTTGTACTGTCACCAGCAGTAAATACGAGTACTCATTCCCTGCACACTAGAATGGTACCACGTTCTTCTGTTTTTGCAAATCCAATAGGTGATAAGTGGTATTCTTACTGTCATTTAAATTTTTGTCTTACAAGTCTGAACACATACATTTAGAGCTATTTGTTTTCTCCCTCAATATCTATTCCTGTTTGTTTGTTTGTTTTTCTTTTCTGTTCTTCTGTAACAGTGGTGTGGTGGAGCTTATCAAGAGAGTCAATTGTTAAATTTTCAGGAAATTTGTAAGCTGGTTAACATCAATAACCTGAAATGGGGGATGGTGGGAAGTATTTGCACCATGGGAATTGGAAAACACTACAAGTTAGTAGACTCTCCATTTATTGTAAAGCACATTCTAGCATACCACTGGATTTCTTATGGACCCTTTCAAGTAGTAAGGATATTAGGTCTTTGTGATATACATTGCAAATAATTCTTTTTGATTTGTGTTTTTCTTGAATTGGCTCAGTTTTTCTTTTTAAGTAGTTAAATTTATCATGATTTATTGTTATTGTTTATTTGCAGTGTGGGGTTTGAACCCAGGACCTCACTCTACACTGATGTATACCTTACACTTCTCATTTTTTTTTTAAGGTTTCTAATTTCAGATTATAAGTAACTTTCCCACTGTGACTTGCAAAGGAACTCTTGTTTTCTCTTAGAACATTTATGGTTTCATATTTTACATTTTGATTTTAGGGTGTAAATTGTGAAGTATGGACCCATTTACTTTTCTAAAGTAAAACATTAGAAAGTGAGATTCAGTACTGTATTTTTTACAGTGTAACACACTGTGCTGAACTTTCATCGATTCTTGAGTCTCCTGGAAAGAAGCAGACAAAGCTCATAGGCAAATCATAGCCTAAACGTTTTTCTTGCAAGAGACTGAATTAGAAGTTTTCAATTGACAGTAAAAGAACAGAGCAAACCCAAAAAGGAATAGAAAGAAAATAATAAAAATAAGAGTTCAAAAATTGATAAAAGAAGAAATAAGCATTCACTAAAGAGGGATAATAAATATAAAATTTAGTCCTTTGAAAATATTAATAAAACAAGCAAAGTTCTGGAGAGGTAATTGAAATAGAGAAAGAGGTACAAATTACTAAGAATGGTGAGGCAGGGCTGGGGATTTAGCTCAGTGCTTCAGCTGCCTGCCTTGCAAGAACAAGGTCTTGAGTTCGATCCCTGGTACCAAAAAAAGAATGGTGAAGTAGGTGTAAGCATGGACCTGTAAAACTTTTAAAAATAATAGAAGACTGACAGTTTCCTGTTAACTGCTCTAAAGGGGTAAAAAGGATTACCTTTTAGGCCAAATAGTTATAGGTGTGTGTTTTAAAAATCTTTTTGTAACTTGAAGTAAGAAATTAAATTCACTTGTTTTTTTCCATGTTCAATTTATGTGACTGATTCCCTTGTTTTAGCTCAGTGACAGGAGAATCAAAGGTCCTCACTCACAGTCCAGCCAGAGAGACACAGGTACCTAAACCAGTCCTGGGATATTACACAAATAAGTCTCTCTTGTTTTTCTGTTCCCTCATCTTAAAATTGGGAATAATTCATATGTTGTGAGGATTCTGAGCTGACATATGTAATTGCTAATGGAGTAAATAACTTTTAATTTATGTAGAGTCTACAATTTATGTACACGTTTCCTTAAATCTCTATTAAAAGCCGTCTTTTTTTTTTTTTTTTTAATGCTGTGCTTTTATTATTCCTAACCTCTATTACTGGACCTTCTTCAGGCCTTAGGGTTTGTTTTTCTGTATTCCTTTGTCAGATGCTGGGATAGACAAGTTTTTGCACAATTTAAAAAGCCAGTGGGAGTTCAAAATGGTTCCTTTTTTGCCTGTCAGACCTGATTCGGATTGGATTATACAAAGAGAGGCATTTTATATCCCATGAAACAACAGAAGTCCACCCTGTGGAGAACTTTTTTAAACCCTTCATTCTTAATCACCTTTGCGTGGTATCCTCATGGAGGACCTAGGTCATGGGTTTCCTCTTCCCCGTGCGATTAGCCTTGCTCCTGCTGTGGGTTCTTTTCTCTAGTAAATCACACTTGCTGGAAATGTTACGGAAACATTGTTTTTGCTGTCCTGCAGGTCGGATCCGCACAAGACGACAAAACTCTGGGAGCACCACCAGTGTTGCCTCTAACCCCTCCGACAGTCGGGGCCGCAGTCGTGCTAAAGTTGTTTCTCAGTCTCAGCGTAAGGAGTATATTTTATGCTTTCCATTACTTTAGCTTCGTTCAACATTCATTCTGCACTTAACTCTTCCTAGTGTTTGTACTGATCTAAGGGGAAAACACATTTTTATGGGTCTGAGTTGCTGTGAATAATTACATTGTTGTTTGGTAAGCTTGCAAAATGGAACATTCAGTTAGGCCCCTATTGTTGAACTCTCTCAAGGTAAAACCTATGTATTCGTGACCCATTTTGGTAATGACAACCCTTATACAATTTTAGAGCAGAACCTGGGCAGAATTATAAAGGCCAACTTTTTTCCAGCAATGAATAAGTAAATCTGTAGAAAGCTCCTCCTTTAACTCTGTGCTAACCCTTGCAGCCTGCACCTGTCTTCTTGTCAGTGTGGGCTCTTGTTTCTTCTAGTTTGCTTTCATGGTTGCTTTTCTGTATGTGTGAAATCAGAATGCTCGCTAGCCTCAGCCAGAAAAGCAGCTTAAAAGGAATGGATTTTTCTGACCATCTTGCTGCCCATGCCTCAGAGCGGCCTGCCCCTCTCTGCACAGGCAGCACAGCTAGGTGTTAGAGTGCCCCTGGGCAGGGTGAGCTTGAGGAGAAGAATCTCTTGTCTCCGGGAGCCTTTACCATACGTGAGTGTGCTCTACAGTGGCAGTGTGGCCACCTGGCTTGTGAAGAGCAAACATCAGGCTTCCCTTTAGAGTTCAGTTTGCAGCTCCTTCTCCGTTTAGATCCGTTTCCATGTCCCATTTGGTGATTGTAGTCCTCTTGTTAAACAAGCTTAGCTCTCTTCTGGGAAGAAAGCAAAAGGCCCCCACTTGAGGCCACAGGATCTGTTAACATAGGTTGTCTTGTGTGCTGTGCTACACTACAAGCGTGGGCTTCAGTGCCAGGCATCCTGGCTCCTTTGCGTCCTGGGTTCTGGTGTGATGTTGAGCAAATCTCCTAACCCATGGGAGCCTTAATTTTGCTGCCTGTAAGTTGCTAACAAGGCCCACTACATAGGACGTGCATGAGGATGTGGTGATAGGGGTGAAACTAGATGGACAATCAGTATACAAGACAGTTTTAGAGCCATAGAAAATGCAGAGTTTGTGATCGCCTCCTGTTTGGGGTTGAGTAACCTGGAACCTTTCCTTCTCCTTTATCTCTGTGCACTTTCATAGGCTTAGGAAAGAAGGCTAGGAGTGGATTTATATGAATACAGTGAGGCTAGATTGAGTCCATTAGGACGAGAATGTCTTATTTACTGTACAACTTATGTGGATTCATTCAGATCCCTGTGCAGGAAAAGCTCAGAAGCTGGTGCCTTGGGAACTGCACCCTGGCTCTGGTTCTGTTGAGCTGTGGTCTGTGGAAACACAGAACGATGTAATGCTCCAAGTCATGACCTCATAAACATGGATCAAGTCTTACTGCAAGGAATCCTTGACCAAAAAAGTGTTCAGCTCTTGGAAGATAGGTTAATGTGATAAATTTCAGTTGAGGTGGTAAAGATTAAAATCCCTTCTCTAGTGGGCCAGAAGAGGATGGTACAGCTTTAAGTCTTCAGTCTTACACTGAACCTTGCATTGGGCTCCAATTTAAAAGCTGTTCATTTTTTTTTTTAAACTTGCCAGATTGCACCCACAAGAAGGTGGACCACCTAACAGCAGCACATTGTCATGCTTGTACCTTAAGCATATAAATTATTTTTAAAAGTTATTTTAACAAGACATAAATATATGCTTATCTATACATACTATAAATATAGATGCGCTGATATTCATAGTCTTGGTTTGATATTAAGTACATCTTATTAAGGTCTTTAAAATTGGCATATGTTAAATATTTAAGGACTAATAAAAGTCATAGGAAATGCAGGTGAAACCAGTTAATAGTGACTATTTACTGTGCGTAAGCACTGTGAAAGCTGGTCATGACACTCAAGTGAGTTAAGTTACACTCACTTCTCTCGGGTTGCTGCAGGAGATGTGCTCTGGGAGGGCAAGGTGCTCGTCTCATTCTTCCTATGTCTCTTACGGCGAGTGTGGTTCCTGGCATATTATAGATTTGTTTGTGAACAGACCTGAAATAAATGCTAGTAGAGTATGATAAGTACAAAATAAATGCATGAATAGACTAGGAGGAACAAATTGTAAGAAAAATAGCTATTTTGCTAATATGCTTGTGAACGAGACTTCCCTGTTGTGTTGCGTGCTGACCGTCTGTACTGTGTTACTGTCTTTTAATTCACCTTTTGCCTGTCCTTGCTCTGCTCTCGTACTCAAGGATCCAGATCTGCTAATCCTGCTGGTGGTAAGCCATTTCTCTTCTTGCTTTTTTTTTTTTTTTTTTTGCATTCTCCCTCACCCCATGTCCTTTGTACAATATTAATTTCTTTATTATGAGCTCAATTAATCTTTCTGCATTTCTCTGTATGTTCAAATACTAGAGTTTGAAATGGATTTCTTTTCCCCTTTTATGTAGTTTATTTGTGCCCTCATTTTATAGACAAAATTAGGTCTTGAGACAGTTCATATGCATTGCTACTTTTACAGTGATTTTTTTCACTTCAAATTATAGTTAATCATTTTAAAGTATTAATTTTTTGTGAGTATTCCCCAAAGTGTTATTCATTTGATGGCAGTTTTGCTATACAGTATAAATTTTTGAAATCTGTGTTTTTAGATGGTATGTATTTTAAAAACCTGTATCAGTACTTTATGTGTATTCATATATATGTGTGTGTACATGAATATTCAATACGCATATGTACAATATGTGTATGTATGTATATACACATATATCCAGTTAGAAGGTAAGTGTTGTTTTAAAGGCTATTTTCTTCTGGATCATTTGGGTTCATAATGCATGCTTTACATGATTCTAGTTGCAAATCAAATCAAATGGTTAGGTTCAGTGTTGACCTTATGGGAAAGTTTGATTCAGTTCACAGCCAGTTCAATTTGCAACCAGAAATAGTGGAATGAACTGAGGTGCCACTATATAGCCAAATTTTCTATGATTACTGATTTGTTTGAGATTATTCCTATCATCTCATTTTGTAATGTTTTTTTACCATGTTTATGGCTGTTTCCTCCCTTTTCTTCTGTTAGATTTAATAGTTATTCTTGGATTCATTTTCTCCCATAATGACTAAGCAATGTTATATTTCTGCTCTTCAGAAGTTACACTTAAATTCTTAACATACTTGTAGAATAATAAAGCAAGTGGAGCTGGAGATGTAGCTCAGTTGAAGAGCACTTGGTAAAGAGCTTTGTCCCCAACATCACTGAATGAAACCATAAGCAAATGCCTTTGTGGCTATTTTAGAGTTTTGCTTGGAACTGTAGGGGCACTTTTGTAGAACTACACCAGTAACTCTTCCAAGCCTACATTTCTTTTATGATGCTTAACATTCTTTCATGTGACTGCATTTTTAAAAAAATTATTACTACCATGAACTAAAATGCTATTTTCTACATAAAATTCTTATAATATTTGACCCAAATTGGTGTATAAAAACTTGCTTCTGGAATTCTTATAATTTATTGCCTTTGCATCTGTCCTTTATTGTTGTTCTACTTTCTTTTTAGCTGGCAGCCGGTCAAGTTCCCCAGGAAAATTGTTGGGGAGTAGTTATGGAGGACTTGCTGGGGGCTCCTCGAGAGGCCCACCAGTGACACCATCTTCAGAAAAACGAAGCAAGATTCCCAGGAGTCAGGGATGCAGCCGAGAAACAAGTCCAAACCGAATAGGACCAGGTAAGGATTTTTAGTCCTTGGAACACCATTCTTAGCTTGATTACAGTTTTGATTCTAATCTAATGACTATGTCTAACACAAGAAATAGAGACCTGTTTTTGAAATGAGAGTGTTACTTTGATTGTATTAAAAAGACATTTTGACTTATTCTACGTACAGATTAGAGGTCAGAGGCACATTGAGGTTTCACTTAGTACCAAAATAAAATGTGGGACTTATGGTCTAAATTAAAGAGAAGGAATTACATTATTATAAGCTTTTGTGATTTGTAGTTGTTTTGCAAAACTTTTGATGGCAAAATAGGCAAGAGTTTTCTCTTGCAATTCAAAGCAATGTTGCTTTTAATTTTTCTTTCATTCTTTCAACAAACTAGCCATTAATCTATATTAATTTTCAAAAGCAGTTTCTAGGGTTCCCATTGATTTTGATTTTGATATTCTGTGACCTCAGTGGTAAAATTTATGATATAATTTTGACACATGAAACTTTTGGCATAATTTTATTGAAACGTGAAATCAAGGAATGATAAGATCCAGTACATTTTATGTCGTAGTGTTTGGCTTTGTAATAGTGTGTAGTTGTATGAGTTACACTGAGTTTAAAGACATTTTACTCTTAATAAAATCTAATTCTAACTTCTAATTTTTATTTAAAAATTTATATATTTTCTCTTTATTTCATCTTTATCTGCTTTCTAAAGTAAAAAATATATTAGTATAAAATCAGAGTAATAGATCCCTAAGTTCTGTTGGCTCGCCTTTCACATTTACTCATGGATCTTAACAGTTTTTACATAAATATTTACTGTGATGTCCGGGGCACGTTTGTTTGACTTGAGAACTAGAAGATAAATGAAGTAGATCTAGCTTCTGACTTCAGAGTCCTTTCATACATTGGGTAGAAGTGAAAATGTAAAACTATAACAAATACTTTGACAGGGTGCTCTAGGTCCTTAAAACGGGTGTGTCCTGTGCCCTTGTTCACCCTAATCCTCCCAGACTTTCTACTGGGGGAGGCTTACAAGAATAGGTCATAGTACAAGGTGGATTAGCCAGGGTATGGATGAAAGAGAAAGGTGTTCTAAGGAAGCAAGAAGTTAGTGTAGAAACAGTCAGGCAAGAGGGAGCTACAAAGAATCCATTTTGCTACCTCATATTGTGGTTGTGGAGGGTGGATGGTGTGGCCAAGAGCAGAGAGATAGGAAGGGTCCAGCTCAAAAAGATCTTGGAGGCCCCTGAGCCAGGAAAGGTCAGAGGAAGATATTTAAGAATGGATAGGATTAGGCTGGGTAGTGAGCTCAGTGGTTCTGCCGCCTGCCTCGCAAGCACAAGGTTGCAAGTTCATTCTCTGGTACCAAAAAAAAAAAAAAAAAGAATTGATAGGATTTGGTTTGAATTCATATTTCCAAAGCAAGATGAAAGTATGTGGTAGGTTTGTTAATTCTCCATGATGTCACCTTCCTGTTGGTGCTATGTAGCATTGTTTCTGAGCTAAGTTATTTTGGTGTTGACATGGCTACAACCAAAGGAGAGGTCAGAGCTAGAATATCTCAGTTTCTCATCTGATACTGCAACATGTCTGTGTTTGGGTCTGTTTGTATTTGGAAGGCCATCTAATTTTAAATCTAGGTTTGAGGTTTCAGCTGTCCTTTTCCATAGTTTTTTTTTTTTTTTTTTTTGTACCAGGGATTGAACTCAGATCCTTGCGCTTGTGAGGCAGGTGGTAGAATCCCTGGCCCCTCCATAGTTAATTATTGAAGTTATTATTATTTTACTTTTAAAAATTCTTCTCTACTTAGGGTTGTTCTTTGTATATTTTTAAAAGGATGTTGTTTTACCTTCTTAAAATTAGGAAATAACCCAGCTTCTCTAGCATAACTCTAAGGCCTGGCATTTCATGGTCTTAACTGTGAAGTTCATGTTGTATGTAGTTGAAAAGATATTTTATATGCTTTTAAGTTGTAGTATTATGACCCAGGCGTGGTGGCACATGCCTGCAATCCCAGCACTTGGGAGGCTGAGGCAGGAGGAGATCTCTGTGAGTTCGAGACCAGCCTGGGCTACATAGTGAGTTCCAGGTCAGACTCAACTACATAGTAAGACCCTGTCTCAAAAAACTTAAACAAACAAACAAACAAATAAATAAAATGTAGTATTATGAAACATAACTCAGAATTATAAAGGAGCTTCCTTCCTTCCAGACATTTCTTATTTGAAGTATTATTTAAAAGAAAGTTAAATTCTTGCTGAATGTTTGGTAGATTAGTTATATGTGAAGCTTTGAGGTCTTATGTACAGTTCTGATTAAAGAAGATATTTAAATTTCTGCACATTCTTGAGAATATACACATATAAAGAAGTATATATGAATAAAGCCTGTCTTTCCACTTACTCCTGTAGTACTAGAGATCCCATTTTATAGGGTAACAGGCACATTTTTCAGTAATGGATTACTACTGTGATTATAAATATTTGGTTCATTATATAGTAATTTTAAATACAAATAACTAGGAAAGGGAGCACCATCTTTTAAGAATATTATTTAACATTCCAAAACCAATTAATTCAACAGTATTTAGCAAAAGGTAAGCTAGGCTTAGAACTTGCACTGACAGTTAATTCTAGTTATCTATAAATTATGTTTTGGTTCACTTATGCCTTGTTTGTCTGAAATATTTCACAACTAAATTTTCTTTTCTCATTTGTTATAAAAATAATGTCAAGGCTTTGCTTTGGTGTTTCAGATTTCTTAAAACAGCCTATATTTCCTATTGGATTACCAGGAAATATAATAAATTCCTTTTTCTCGGCAATTTATTCCCTTATAAACTACCCAACTATTTGGGAGAATATATTTGTAAACTTTCTTTTTTTGTTGTTTTTTTGTTAAAATACAAAAAAAAGACAATAAAGGGATTTATAGATTTAAAGTCACACAGATAACCAGCATCTTTCTTAATTATATTTTAGCTCTTTGCCTTTGGTTACTTTCTCCATTAAAAAGTATTAAAAATACACTTGACACTTTTTGCAGATGACATTTTATGGCTATGCATTTAAATGCTTTAAGATTTTCTGATTAAAAATACTCTTGGAGAAAAAAATTCTTGGAAAATTAAAATTAAATACTTCATTTTAACTGTGAAATTAGACTTACTGTGACATGAAAATGCCTAGAGAGGCACTTCATGTCTTTAACTTCTAGTTTTCATTAACCTTCTTGTATTTCTGCTTTTCGTATTAATTCTAGTTGGATCATTCCTTAAAAGGCAAAAGTCAAGATCATGCTTAAAACACTAAAGATTGTCAGAAATCAAAACCAGTCAGTCAAGTGGTTTTTCAAGGCTCCCCAGCCTTTTTGTGTAAGCACATGACTCAAAGCTACCTAGCAATGTTGCTTTTAGAAAGTTCTTAATGGCAAGTGTGTTTTCACTGTCTCTTCCTCTCATGCTCTCTCCTCTGTATTATAGTCTCACATGGAATGTTCAGTTTGGGCACATGATAAACAAGTTGATTTATTCAATGGTTTTTTTATTGTTTTTATTTTTAAGTTTTAGCCATAAAATAATTTATGTAAATAGTTATTTTAAATCCTCTTTCTAGATTTTTAGTCTTTGGAAGTAGTATTGTAAGTGAGTGTTTTTATTCTTGTGATTTAAGTTATCCAACACTTAAACTATTGATGTCATCTATTTAATAAGGTGTGGGGCAACTATGGGCAGATTTTTCATAAAACAATTATTTTTCAGTGTGCTACTACTGGCCAGATGTTAGAGGAGCAAATCAACACAAGTAAACAAGATGAACTTTCTGAATAAAGTACTGGGAGGGTAAATCTGGTTAAATTTATATTCAGCTCTTCAGATTACATCTGTGTATCACTGCTAAAACTCTTTTTTCTTATCAGAGCAGACTCACCCCAGAGAGGGAGCATTATTTCCCTTTGCTATGGCATATATATTACCTTGAAGTTAGGGCTTGGGTAAAAATTCAGAAGTAATTAGGTATGAACTATTAAGAAAATGTTCAACTAAGCGTGCACTTATATGAAAAGCTATTATCAGGACTGCTTTTGTTTCTTTTTAATTATTTATTTGGGGTAGATAGTAGAATAAGACATTTTAATATATGTGCATTCAGTGAAGATTTCAGAAATACTTCTGTATGTTCATTATCTTGCAGTTCCCTTCTTACTTAAATGATTAGATACTAACAACTCCTTGTTGTCCTAAGGGGAGGCTGATACCTAGAGAGGCCAGGTGGCTGGACCAGTGAGGTAGCTTGGAACTGGAATAGTCACTTCAGGATGCCCTCTGAAGCTGAACAGTATTGCTTTGTATGTTCTAGGAAGCTTTTCCATAGTAGTGGGGTTGGGGCCGGGGATTTAGCTCAGTGGTCCCATTGCCTACTTCGCCAGTGCAAGGTCCTGAATTCAATCCCCAGTGTCCCCTCCCTCCAAAAGCAACCATATTATTAGTGGTGTTGGTAGACACTCTCGTTTTTTTTTTAATGGATTTTATTTGGTACCTACTATTTTTGCCTTTCTTGCAGGAGCAGTTTGGAATGTTGCCAAGAATTGCTGATTTAAGTAATCCCTTCTAGTAAATAGTCATTACCAGTTTGAGTGAAAACTCAATGATTTCATGTCGTCCTGGTAAAAGTGAAGGAGAGTAGGAATTTCTGATGGAGCTCAGTGAAGCAGTTTGGCCCGTTGTTCAGATCGCATTCCTGTATCTGACCTCACAGCACTTGAGCAGAGCAGGGCATTTGCTTCATTTTTTACTTGCACATTCTTCATTGGGGAGTTTCATGATTCTGGTTTGTAAGACATTCTTATTATAGTTAGGCTGTAAAATACATCTTTGCTCTGAATAACAGACTGTGCTCATTATAATATAGAAAACTTGGCTTCCATTTATCTCCTGAATCAAGTTTATTATTTCCAGAATCTCTGAGAAAGTAATTTCTGTACTGACTGGGAAGAGCTGTCCCCACTAGCTCTTACCCTAGGCATTCCAGCTACACATATTCAGAATGCAGTGTTGTTTTCGAGGGTTTTGCCAGTTAATTTATTTATGTTTTCTCAGGCTAAATTGAGGAAATGAGGGTATCATATTTGTTATGAGCTTCACAGCCAGATTATTATTAGACCTGAGGCTGTTCATACAATCCTGCTTCATATAAGTTCAGTGTTTTATACCATGAAAAGAATAAACTTTATCCATAGATAATTATAAGGTAATGAGCTTTTCTCAGGTCAGGAGGGAATCTTTTATCCAAATACTTATTGAGAGATAATCAGTCCACTTGCTATAGACTCAGTGAGGAAGACTGAATCCATGAGGGTGCTTAGAAGTGACCACAGTTAGATCTGTGTGGATCAGCACAGATTGACTGTGGGGACAGAAAAGGAAACGATGGCAGTCCCAGCCTGCATCTGTTGGTTCTGATTCATGATTGTGTTCTGGGGGCATCTGCACTTCCCTGGGAGTGGGCAGGCCTCCAGGGGTGCTGACCTTTAGCTTCTCCTTTAAAGAAGTGAAACTGGGAAACAGGAGCTCTCTTCCTCTTAATAATTAGGTAAGTTTGTGGGCTTCAGTGACCCGAGCCTAATTGTATTAAGGCTCTAATTTAGTCCGCATTAAATTATCTTCTCAAGAACCAAGTGCCTATGAAAAGAGATTTGATCTTTTGTCCTCTTTTTGAAAAGTTTATAGAGCCATCAAAACTGATCATTTTTAAGAAGCTTTGCGTCTTGTATTTTCTGGTGCCATTTTGTTCTTTGGAATGATTTCATTTCTTATATTTGAGTGTAATTTCCCTTTCATACTAAGAGTCACAGCTTTCTCAGGCATTGCGCATAATCAAGTTTATCCACACCCGCTCTGTTGGCTTGTCAGTCAGTGAGACCTCAGCACAGATAGGTGGCCCAGTCATCAGAACACCCCAGCTTGAGCAATGTCATGATACATTAACCAAATGTGACTGCCGTTTTGTGAGTTTTTCTGTCTTCCTTAAATTAAACTTGTTCACCTTCTCTGAAACCCCTCATGCTGCACGCTAGCACGGAGCAGCCGTATCCCTCGACCCAGCATGAGTCAGGGGTGCAGCCGCGATACCAGCCGTGAGAGCAGCCGAGATACAAGCCCTGCTCGGGGCTTTCCTCCACTTGGTGAGTACACGGAGGTGCTGCCCAGGAGCGGAGCGTTCCGTCCCTGCTCCCCGTGCTTGTTGGAGACACTGCTGGGTGGAATGACTGCTTTTCCTCTGCTGTCCTGTGATCCCTTCTTCTCTCTTTCCTCTTCCTTAATCACCTGTCATTGTCCCCTTCTGCATGCTTGAGCTTCAGCAACTCCCAGTTTTCATATCTCAGAGGAAAAAAGCACCACTTCACTCTGCTCTTGTCATTTATAGCCAGTTGCTACCAGAGAAGCCCATCCTTGTGGTAATTTCCAATTTAAGGCAGCCAAAGTTGATTGCTGCTTGAAAGTAAAGTTGATCCAAAGTTTATTCCTAGTCATACAATTTATCTTTAATTTACTAGAGATCAGTTTATATGTGATTTTAATTCAAAAGAAACACAAGTGAAATAATTCAGAAAACAAAAAGAAGCCAGGTGTGCCAGCACACACCTGTAAATCCCAGCGCTGTGGGAAGCTGAGGTAGGAGGATCTCAAGTTCAAGCCCAGCCTGGACAATTTAATGACTTAGCCAGATCCTGTCTCAAAATTTTAAAAAAGGACTGGGGATGTAGTTCAGTGTGAAGGCTGTGGGTTCAAATCCCAGTACAGACCAAAAAAAAAAAAAAAACAAAAGGTTAATGAGTTTTCCTGTTAACTTTTAATAGTCCTGCTCTTAAAAATGGACACACACCTTTTTATCTAGTACAGATTATTAATCCTCAACAGCATCTATAATTGCATATTTTTATGAAAAGGAAGGTTTTTTGTGTTCTTCAATGGTTATTTTTTAGTTGTTTGGCATGTTAAGTGCTGTATAGATGTATATTTTTTTCTTGCTAAACATAAAGAGTAGCAGTCATTTTTATAATAATTAAACCTAGCTAGATGTGGTGGAGCACACCTGTAATCCCAGCACTTAGGAGGCTTGAGGCAGGGGAATCACTGTGGTTTAAGGCCAGCCTGGGCTACACAATAAGATCCTATCTCAAAAACAAAACAAAACAAAACAAAACTAAACTAAAGAAGTTAGGCCTAGAGCTGAAATCATCCCATGGAGCATGGACTATACCATTTACTGTATGATTATGCAACTGATCTTCTAACTATATAAATGTTACTACAGGAGAAGGACGTCAAATGTGTGAGGTCTTCCTGTTTGCCTCCTCTGTTACCCACACGCTTCCTCAGTTATCTCTTTTCTAATCGGCATCAGTAATCAGAGTCTAGATGTACACCTGGATGACCCACTGTCCTTTATGAGGTACTGAACAAGAGTAGGTCACGCATGCCATCACCCTACTAGATGACTGCCTGACTTAGAGATTCCTTCCCTGATACTGCAGGATGTTCTGCTTGGTTTGCAGAAGCTCCTGCTGGGGCAGCTTACTTGTGCGTGTCAGCTGTACCATACAAACTGGATACTTTGGGGCAGAATTCTCACTAAATCAGGGGTGGCCACGATTTTCTGAATGAACTGGTGATTTTTCCTTTTAAATTAAGGCTGTATATCTATCTATGCATCTTTGCTCATTATTTGACCTCCAAAGAATCTATTACATGAGTAAGCGAGTCCAGTCTGTTTATTTTGTCTCTTAGAAGTCATGCGCTGTTTTTATTTCATACATTTCCTGGCATTTTTAAAATTGTCTGTAGAAGCAGAAGCAGCCTTTGTAATTTGGCATGTTCTCTGTAATCTGCCTGGTCTATGGACCAGGCCAGGTGTGCTGATTTCTTGAGGTCCTTGATTGAGTAATCACATCTGTTTTTTCTATGTTTTTGGTTTACTTTTGGTTTGTTTTAACCTTTGAGTAAGTGGATCTGCTTAACTGTCTTGGTGACAACTCAAAATGTTGGTGTACGATTGCTACACGAGGCAGAAAACGTGGATCCTAACAATCTCTAGTAACAGCTTCTTCTTTCTATTGTGGTCAGGGAATGGTGAATATCAGTGATATAAATTTTTATGCCTTTTCCCCCCATGGATGAAACAAGTCCCTAAAATTTGTGTCCAGCAGGAGTAGCAACATTGCCTGTGCGTAACTGTACTGTTCAGAGCAGTCAGCGGGTATCATGCCTTACACTCCTGCAGTGACTCTGGGACAGGTATCACCCAACTCTTAGGGGTGTTAAGTCCTGTTCTCAAGGTCACACAGCTAAGTCATGGAGCCCGGGTTTGAATGCAGGTTTGACTTCAGATCTGCCTCACCAGAAAGTACTTTTGATAATTCGGTGTCTATTATCTGTCCCTCAGCAGTGTACTAACTGCTTTTTTGGCATCCTTGCAGGGGTAGGCGCATGGAAAGTGCTTCAGACTTGTTTCTGAGTTGGTGATTTCTGAGGACCAGGGAATGAAGAGACACATCTGAGAAGGGTGTTGTCCTCTAGGTGCTTACTACATCTTCTCTGAAGGCTCCTTTTTCCCATTCATTCAAATAGTAATTTTTCACCTCTTTTGGAAAATTGTGTCAGTGCCCGTTTACATAGTCAGCCTTTGTTGCTGTTGTTTAAAAGGAAGCATTAATTAGTGTAATTATGATTCAGTGAATCCCCATTACACAGAAGTTGGCTTCTGGGATCCTCTGTGGATAGCAAACTCTGCAGATGTTCACACCCCTTACAGAAAACGGCATCATATTTGCACATAACCTACATACATCCTCTCATCTGCCTTCATATCTCTATAGATTATGAAACTTAACACAAAGTAAATGCTTTATAAATAGTTGTTGTATTGTGTTCTTTAGAGAATAATGGCAAGAGTGTTTAAAAGTTCAGTGCAGACACAATTTTTTCTCCAGTCTGCTGCTGGTTGGATACACAGAGGTGAAACCTGCAGTGAGAAGACCAACCCTATATCTTGTTTTTAAGTTTACATGATTGTTTTGAAGCATCTAAATGGTATGAACATACAAATATGTGGTTATAGTGATGATTACAAAGTGAAATTAAGGGCTTCAAGAGTCAGGCTTTGACATAAATGAGTCCACCTTGGTTTCTATCATTGGGTGTTCACAGAGGACTCGTTCTGCAGCAGATTTACTGTAGAATATTCTTTTGAAAGAGAACCAAAGGATCACTTTATACAGAACCTACAAATCAGGTATTGCTTAAAACCTTTTTAATTTAAACTACCATATGGTACTGCTGTGCCTAGTACAATAATAAATGTGTGGTTTGCTCCAGTATTGAGAAATATTTTACCAACTTCCTTTTTAGGAAAGTGATAAGTGTATAATATGTTTTAGAAATTGCTAATTTATTTTGTATTTTTGTGAATCTTGAGGGAAGTACTTCCTTTATTCTTTGCAAGCAGGTGAATTTGTCTTTATTGATCAGGTAACCTTTGCTGTTTATTTAATACCACATATACCACAGATGTGCATGTTTGAGGTTTTGAAATTTTGTGACTAAATGTGCAAGTGATAATGTGTATGGAATATTCCAGTAGTATGGATGAAAGATAGGATTGCTCGGTATAACTTTGTTAAATTTACAAACTTCCGGTGGTTTAATCAGCGTGACTATTTCAAAGTAATGGACGGAAGAATGTTATCCTTTGTTTTTTTTTTTCCCCTGGCATAATAATGAAAGGCTGTACACTGCATTAAACTGTGACCACTAATTTATCAGTGTTTGAAACAAGTCTTTATTTCATGATCAGTTCTAAAAGTTATTTTCTTTCCTCATGAGGACAGAATTTAGCATTTACTTCTTCAGGTTGATGAGTTAACATACTAATTACAAATACCTGCTAATAAAATAACATTTTAATGTCTTAAGTTGGAGTTTACTCCTTAACCTTTACTACTATTAGCACCACTGTGGACTCTTTGCTGGTATGATTTTAAATGCTTTATATATGGTTTCTTTTAATCCTCTCAGTAACAACCAAGAGGTAGGTACCTTCATTGGCACCATTCTACAAGTCGAGAAATGGACAGGTTTAGTACAGAGAGGTCCTACACTTGTGAGCAAACCAGGCTGTGCAGTTGTATTTCTGGACTGGAACTCATAAGCAGAGAGAGTACTGCAATAGCCTTTCCAAGGAAGGTTGTTATACTTGCTACCACTGAATTTCCAACAGTTAAACAAGAACATGGATAAATAAGATATTTGTGCAACAGAATAACAGATATTTTGATTGGGGGAAATGGAATTCCAGCTGTTGAGCCTCTCCCTGTGATTTCATTCTGTTTAAGTAACATTATGAACCTCTCTGCTTTTGTTTTTGGTGCATGGTGACATATGCATCACATACTGATGGCACATCTCGTGAGCTGAGTTAATGATCCATCTTCCTGCTCTCCACTCTGAGGTTTAGACAGTGCTCTGTGACTCCTGGTGTTTTTCATGTGGCATATTTCCATAGTGGCTGATTGAGGCTTCATGGCGCAATTCTAAACCTGGAGTCCAGTCGGCCAGTGCATCCTGAGTAGGGAGCACCTTAAAGAGTGCCCCTGTCGTGCCTGTGTGTCTAAGAGCTGTGCGAGAGCCAGCAGCCACCTCGCACGCTGGGGTTGGCACTTGCTGTCCATTCATATCCAGCACCATTTCTTTTCATGAGAAAGTGCAGCCTTGTCGGTAGCAGTCCCTGCATTTCCTTTGGTACTTGTGTGTTAACCCTGTGGGTGTTGCCGTTCCTTTTACCTGCAGCCTCTCGACGTCATTCCAGGTCCACTAGTGCTCTCTCCACTGCTGAATCTGTTGGGCAGTCAGGTGAACAAGTGCTAACTGCATGACGTGGCTTTTTCATCTGTTCTGGCTCCACGCTATGTTAACATTTGTTTTTGTCTGTGTCAGCTAGCGCTTGGCATGTGTGCACCTCATACTTGTTTTCCCCAATGTGCTTTTCTTTTTTTAAGTTGGTGAATGTTTATAGTTCTGTTAATAGGCTGTAGATGCTGTATCGCCTGTTTGACATCATTTTTCCAATGTTCATATTTATGTCAAAACAAAAAACAGGGAAGAACCTCCTATCAGCCCCTATCCAGGAAAACAGCCACCAAAACTAGGTGTAATACAGCATCCCTGTGGGGAAACAGGGTGTGGATATCATCCAAGAGTCTTTTATGTCCAAAGTCTTCATTCCCAGGATAGTGTCAAATGTTAATGTTAGTCGTTAGCATCAGGTTCCAATTATTTTGAGGTACTTTTTAGTTACCAGTGCTTCAAATTATAGCATGTATAATTTCATGTATATGAAAGTAACTGTATTACCCTAAAAGTGTTACAAAAATAAGATCAGGAGTCAGGTAATCAAGTCAGGCCAAAGGTTAGCCTGTGCAGCCTGTGGACCCCGAATCTTCTGTCTCAGGTCTCTTTAACATAGCAAAAAACCACTGACTAGTCATAGGGGCCAAAAGGAAGCATGCAGCAATGCATCAGTGTGCCACATTTACCTGGCATCATTTCCATGTGTTGACAGGCCCCAGTAAATAGCTCCTCATTTGAATAAGGCATAATCTGTTAATGCACACGCTGTTGATGGTGACAGTGCATACCAGTTCACTGAGTCAGTTGTTTTCTCCTTTTCCCCTCGGAATGAAGCCAGCCGTGCATCTTAGCTATGGATACTATGATTAAACACATTCTCCAGAAGATTAGGGGTCAGAATGAGGTCACAGCCATATGTATCCATCTCTTGGAGAATTGAGATTCATAGGAGTATCAGAGCAGTGAGAAAATAGAACGGTTTGGTCTGGTGAAAACAAAAACTTGTCATTTTGCTGAGATCCAGACAAATATTTCCCCTGAAGATCTGAAATTCAAATTCTGTGTTATATATCAAGGGATCTACAATCGCTGTGTATGGCAAAGCTCTATGCATATGGAAAGCACAGAAAAAATTGCATTGTTCTTATTAAGTTTTAATTTTGTGTCTGAAAAACCAGTATTACCCCTGGAGCAAGAATTGCTGGCATGAGATCTACTTTTTTTTTTTAATACTCCATTTTATTTAAGTTTATGCTGGGTAATTTTTAAATGGCTTATAACTGAATTACTTTCATTCTGTTACTCATAAATTCCCTACTATCTACCCTTTTTTAATGGAAAAAAGACTTGAATAAAGATCATTTATAAATCTATGTGCACAGTAGATCTCAAATTGCTCATTTCCTATTTTAACTAAATACATTTGTAGGTAAACATGTAAGTGTGATTGCATTTGTGGTCTTTTTTAGTGCATGTGGCACTTTAAATCGCCTTTGAGATGTAATGACTATGATGACACTTGATCAAGAAATGCATTAAAAAAGGGGATAGTATAACATACAATTTTTGTTTCCTTAAAAAAATCCATGACTGTGTATAACTCTTGACTCGTGGTATTTAAATTATTTTCTGTGGTGGTGGAAGGTGTAAAGTTTTGAAATAGACACTTCTTTAAAAAGCTAAATAACATTTTATTTTTAAAGTTCACCAGCTTTGTAGGTGAAGTTTTATTACCTATTTAAATTTTTAATTGTATTATTGTGTAGGAATAATCATTTCAGGTAAAATAGATACTAGCTTCCCTTTCATTCCAAATGTTTCATTACTAGAATTTGGTTAATACAGAGAATTTTTTTTCCTTGTTCAAACAGTATCTTATTTGTGAACACAGGGAAAACATTTTTTATCATAACTTTCTTTCAAAGGTTGTTTATACATTTGAATTTTAATCCAAACATTTCCTGTCAATAGATATGCTGATACACCTACAAAGTGTAGATCACACTGACTCCCTCCCATTGGAGCTTGGATTTCCAGCCCTTCTTCAGGAAGACTGATTCTGACTTAATGGGACTTTCATTAAAAACGGAGTCTTCATTTAACATGAGCATTAACAACCCCCAGAATAGCTGTTTGAATTGTTGAAATTTATCTTAAAGTCTTTATATTCTTTCCATTTTATTTATCTGTATAAAGACTGTCATTCACAAATCCTTTAAAGGAGCTCTGGTAAAATCTGTAGGACATTATCCAAATGATGAATAGTATGCAGCAAAGATACTAGGTGTTGTGAGAATTATTAAGGAATTTTACTGAATTTTAAAGTAACCTTTGGTGACATAGACATCAACGAGTAACCCAAACTAAGTAAGCTTACTTGCTGAATATTAAACAGTAGTAACAGAAATCTACAAAATTTGTAGAGACTTTAATACATTTTTCAAATTGTAACTTTTTAGCTTCAGATTGAATTAGAATTCATTTATCAAACCATGAAGCTTTCTAATTAGTTTGAACAAATGTCAAGCCCACTTTCCTCCAGAAGGAAAGCTAGATTAAAAAATTCAACTCATAGCCCGAACTCCCTTTCATAAGGGAGTTCCCAAAACTTACCAATAAGAAAATAAGGCCAGACAATTTCCTCTAGAAGAAAACTTTGTGGCTCAGGAATATTAAATATGAGCAGCTTCACCTCCTCCCTGGTAGGAAACAATCTCAGTGTAGTTAACTGGCTAGGGATTTCTCAGTGCCTCCATCTGCGTTAGTGGGAAGATGCAGAAGCCCCTGTGGAGAATGGAGGAGGTCTGAATCCAAGTGACACGTCTCCTGCTTTTGTTTTCCAAGTAGACCGGTTTGGGCTGAGCCAGCCAGGACGAATACCTGGTTCTGTGAATGCCATGCGGGTTCTGAGCACCAGCACAGACCTGGAAGCAGCTGTGGCAGATGCTTTGGTAAGAGCACAGTCTGTGCAGGCTCTCTGAATTGTTCATTTTTGTGTTTTTCTCTCTGAACAGGAAATTGCCCCCAAGTCAGGGCACTAAATCATCTTTGACACTCTTTAAACTTGTGTAAATATTACATAAATTTATATTATTGTTTGCTTATACATTTATCTCTGCACAAATGTAAGTGAAAATTGGCTTTCCAGAAAATTCAAGGACCAGGTGTTCTCGTGCTACTTGTTATCGAGGAGTTTTGGATGACATTGGGCTTCTCAGGTGTCATTGAGCTTTTTTTTTCTTCTTTTTGACTGTGATTTTTTTTTATTTTAGCATGTCCTGTGTTCCATCCCGTTGCTTCTATTTGCTTTATAGATTTTGATGGCGTCGCCTAAACACATGAATGTAATGTTATGTAACAGTTTGAGGTTTGAGACCTTTATGGGTCCTTGTATTCTTTTGGGTTTTGTTTTTTGTTTTTAAATGAGTCATCATCAGCATTTAAGAAAATCTTCCTAAATTTTAAGATTTACTCAGGACATGAAGCACTGGTGAAACACCAATGTGTTTTTGCTTCATGTTAGTGTGATATCTAAAAAATATAATCTAGTGAGCAAATCTCTAATTTGTGCTTACAGCAGAAAGTTTTTGGCAGAGTTGACTTGTAGTCAAATTGCACTTTAAAGATGCTCTTGGGCTGGTAATAACACATCCCTCTTGTATATTACAGTTAATGTGCTCAGCATTTAAAACAGATATTCTTTAGAACTGCCTGATCTCTGCCCTTGCCTTGGCTGTTTTAAAATTTATTCTCCTGTAAGGGAAAAAAAGTAAACAACACCTTGCTTTCTGATCTTGAGGTTTTCAACCCCACCATGTTCCATGTGACCAGCATTTTTATAATCTGTGGCTACAGTGATTCCCACTTTCATCCCTTCGTGTCTCTCCCTCATTTATTCTTGCTCAGCCAAATGATTCCTTTGACAAGTGTCTGAGCACGCAGTTTGCTGCTTTCAGTTTGCTTTCCCGGTAGGCAGAGAGCCTGGCCGGCTCCATTCATCACCCTTATGTGTGGACAGACTTTTTCTGGCAGGTTCAGGAGTGCAGGGTAATTGCTCTAACCCTGGCTTTAACTTGAGTCAAGAGCTGGAACAGAATTCTGAAACTGTTTCTCCTTCCAAGTTGCGGCATTTAGAATCTGTCTTTTATTTATTTGGAGATCCTAGGAAGTGGAGGTCAAAGGGGTGGGAAACAATGAAAAACTAAAGAAACCCTTAGAAAAATGGGTGTTCTAGTTAAGGCAGAGGACTTCCTTAGTTGTTTAAAAAACTGCCTAAGGGGCTGTGTGCAAAGTTCTAGCAGCCAGAAGAGAGCCGGAGCTGGCAAGTTTGCGCTTTGGCTTCTTTTGGACTTGAGCTTTTCTCTGAGCCCCAGCTCCCATCCTGCTCTTGGCTGGCCTTGTTACTTTTTGTCCACCCTGTTTGGTCTCATATGACCTGCTCCCGCAGAGAAAACACAGGAATGGTACCGAATCCCTGCCTAGAGAATGAAAGCCCCAGGGACAGGCAGAAGGTCTTACGGAAATAGATAGTAGAGTAATGGTGACCTTAGAGATGTGCTTTATGGGAATGGGGAGATTTTAGCAAAGAATTATAGCAAAAATCAGAAAGTCTTAGGAGAGAGCATAGGGGGGTTAGGAAATGCCATTTTGAATACAGTCTAATTTACTATTATCCACTCGATATGAAATGCTTGCTGACCTGTGTTTTTGGTTTGCTAAAAGATGTTTTGCTGTACACTTTTGTTGCTGGAACAATCCCAACATATGCTTCTGACATAATTCTCTATGCTTTTTCCCCATCCTTCAATATTTTCCTGCCTACAGCTGTTAGGAGACACCAGGAGCAAGGTACCAGTGCTTTAACTTTTGTTTACAACTTTATTTTTTTCTGTTGCAAGTATATTTCTTTGAGAATGTAGTAGAAGCAGCACAAAATGTAATAAAGTAGAAATTCTGGTCTGAGTTAACGACGCTGTTGAATCTGTGGGTGCTTTTATTAGTGATGGAGTCAGTCACCTTTCACATGCATTTGTGTTAGTATTTATTTTGAATGTCAGGTTTTGCTCCACTTTATTAACCCAATCTCTGCCTGTTATGCATCATTTTTTCAGGAATGAATTCATTGACATTTTTCTTTGTTTAGGGCCTATAGTTTATATGTGAGTGGATGATCATATACTTTATCGTCCAAACAGAAATACCTTTGAAAGTGAAAAACAAGGTGTTACTAATAATCATGTGGGAATGATAACAGAAGAGTCCTGAGCAAATGGAGATTCATAATCATTAGTGTAATTAAAGAATTTCATTTGTTGGCTGGGCATGGTGGCTCACACCTATAATCCCAGCACTTGGGACTTTTGTGAGTTCAAGGCCAATCTGAACTACATGGTGAGACTCTGCCTCCAAAAAAAAAATTTTGTTATTGTATGGCTTAAGCTAGTAACTTTTTCAAAAATTTATATTTAAAAGTTACATAAATTGCACATAGCTACTACTATATCCTTTATAGTTTAATATAGTTTTATATTTGAGGTATAAGTGCACAAAGCGGTATTCACATTGCACCTCCAGCCTTTTTATTTTAAGACAGAATCTCACTAAGTCTCCATCTTGCTTATGCTGGGCTTAAACTTGCAGTCTTCCTGCCTTAATGTTTCAGAGAGCTGGGGTTATAGGCGTGCTCCACTATGCGTGGGTCAGTTTCAAGCTTTCTTAAGGAAACATGAATGTGCAAGCATGTGTACCCACGGGTCATGGTAGAGGTTTATTGCTTTGGACTGCAGAAGGAAGAAGAGTGTGCCTCTTTGCCTGGTCTTATCTGCTCAGCTGACTTATTTAAGACAGAATTTCTTTCCACCCTCACAACACACCTGTGGGATCCAATAATTATTATCCTCTGAGAGATGAGGAAGCTGAAGCAGAAAGCGTCAGAGTCTTTCTGGAGTTGCACAACTGGTCAGTGTGGTGCAGGATTGTAACCCAGTCTGTCTTACAAAAGGACCCACACACTGTGTCAGAGGCCTTGTTCTTTTCCCCACTGAGGAGTGTGGTGCTTATAATCTATCTTACGTCCTGGAAGACTGCTTTTCTATTTTTATTTCCCTAATATGTAAGCACAGGAAAAGTGTATGTCTCTGTGTCTCTTTACATAGATTCCCCTCTTTGTTACTTCTGTTTGGTATGACTCATGGCCATTTCACCTTCCATTTCTTCCTCATTCACTCCCATCCCCCATTGGATCCATCAGAAGAAGCCTGTGCGGAGAAGATATGAGCCGTATGGGATGTATTCTGATGATGATGCCAACAGTGATGCCTCAAGTGTCTGCTCTGAGCGCTCGTATGGCTCCAGGAATGGTGGTATTCCCCATTATCTGCGGCAGACTGAGGATGTAGCAGAAGTTCTCAACCACTGTGCAAGTTCAAACTGGTCTGAAAGGAAAGAAGGGCTTCTGGGCCTGCAGAACTTACTGAAGAGCCAAAGAACGCTGAGGTAAGGACAAGAGACTGAGATTGGGAGCCACATTTGAGTTCTACTCATCAGGGGCTTGAAGGGATTGCATGTCATTTATGAAGGCCTTTAAGCTGCAGTTGCTAGGGCAAGTACTAAAGGTGCTAGCGACTATGATGAGATACAGTACTTGCCAGTCAGAGACTTTGAAATATCTGGCAAATATTGTATAATTTATTAGGTCTGTAAAACATTTTGTTTCCATAAGGTTCACATTTGTCCATCAGTTGTTGTTACTTGAGAAATTTTGGGACAGTTTGTAACTAAAATAAAAAACAAAACAATGCTGCAAGTTAATATGGTTCATTCCTCTTTAGGATTTGGTAAAAATGGTACCAGTCTCAGTGTTATACTTTTTTAAACATATGTATTTATGTGGCCTATAAATGTACAGATTAAACAGATAATAAAGCGTTGCAAGATAGTAGCATTATCTTTGGAATTATTTTTTACTTTTCTGTTTCTGTATGTCATAAATTTTCCAAAATAAGCATGTATTGCTTACCCCCCCCAAAAAAGTTCACACCATATCCCATCAGATCTAAGGCACCATTAAAACTCCATTGTTTTGTTTCTCTAAAGAAATAATAAGAAAAGCTTCTTATTAAACATGATATTAATGTCATTGATTACAAGATGAATCTCAGTAGCAAAGATGTTAAAACATGAAAAAGGAGATGTGACTGGTAATTGAGAAATGCCGGTATAGAATCCACAAAATACAGTATATTGTGTCCTCTGGGTCATTTTCAAAAATAAGTTGTGAGACTAGATAGACATGGCCCCGGGTCACTATCCCTTCTGGGTTTATGTGGCTAGGTCTGTGCCAGTGGATGGGGAGCTGTGCTCCACGTGTGGCCTTCAGTCACATGCTGCCCTGAACCACGTTATTCCATTCTGTCGTGAAGATGGTAGGAGAAATTCAGGCATCCCTGACATCTCTGGTGATCTCTCAAAAACAAAAGTGATGACTTGTGTTGACTGTTCTTCACGAATCCATTTCATTCTGCTGGTTCCACTTTGTGGATTCTAAGTGTTCCCCAGTTACAGACCCAAGAATATCTAGAAATTTGTTGATCAACACTGGTTGTGCTGTAGTGGTGTTGAAGGATCTCTGAACCAACTGCCTTGGCTACATGAGGAAGAGGTTTACTCAGGGGTGATTTGAGGAAGAGCACATCCTTCTTTCCATCCTCAAAGTAAAAAAAAAAGGCACTCAGTAGGACACAGTGTTCACCTTGGCTTTGCTTTGTCCCCAGCACAATAGTAGGTATGACACGCTATCTTACCCAGCCCTCTCAGCAGCCATACAACTGTCTGTTTGACTGATGAAGAAATCAGTTACATCTTAAAAGTGGAGTCTGAGAGATACCTTAGAACTTTGTTTAGAGCAGAGTTGATATGACAGTTCCAAGTCTTCCAGACCCCAGACATGTGGTTTTGTTTTTTGTTTTTCCTAGTTTAGCCCATTGCCTTTTCATTGTGGCAGGTGCAAAATAAATATGGGATAATGTAAAGAGGATTTGGCTCGTGCTTTATCACTTCCAAATGTGCAAGCTCGAACAGAGCGCACATGCATGCTTTCTCCCTCTCTCTCTATTTCTTTCCTCTTTCCTCATCTTAAAATGACAGCAAATAGGGCCAAGGATTTAGCTCAGTGGTTCTGACACCTGCCTTGCAAGTGCAAGGTCCTGAGTTTGATCCCTGGTACCAAAGTACCAAAAAAAAAAAAAAAAAAAAATA